ACACGAAAGACATTTATGTTTCAGATTGCCTATCCACCATAGCTGCAATGACAATGATGTTTTTGCACAATCGTGACTACCAGCGGTATGCTTTGTTGGAAGGTACAACATCTCAATATTTTGCTATTACTTTTGAAGAACCATTAACAAAATGTATGTGTAATCTTTGTTAAAATGGATGCAGAAGTGAGAAACTCCTTGTTGAAAGAACCAACCCTGCATGACGCCATTAAGATTGTTGTGACCTATAGGAAGCAAGAGCTACTGCAATTGAAAGAACAAAACAACGATCCAGCAAAGCCAGAAGTGGTGATAGTTGAAGATGATGAAGTGGTGATTGAGCCAGTGCCAAAAAAGAAGCGCACCGGCAATAAGGGATTCACTATCCCTGAGGAGTTGGGGGGGGGGCCTAATGCGATCGGTCCCCCTCCCCCGCTCCGCACTCCTCCCACTTCTCCCCTTCCTCCTCCCCTTCTTCTCTTCCTATTACAGTACACCACAAAAAAATTTTAAAAAACAAAAAGTTAGAAAAATTTATGTATAAAAAATTTGAATTCAAATTCAAATATGAATCGGGTATGTAAACTTTTGACTTATAAACTTTGGATCTATAAACTTTAGGTGTATAAACTTTAGATGTATAGAAATACTATATATAGAAAATATTTGAATTATTTGAATTCAAATTCAAATTTGAATCGGATATAATTCAAATTCAAATTTGAATCGGGTATATAAACTTTAGGTCTATAAACTTTAGGTGTATAAACTTTAAATGTATAGAAATACTATATATGAAAAATATTTGAATTCAAATTCAAATTTGAATAGGATATTTGAATTCAAATTCAAATTTGAATCAGACATAATTCAAATTCAAATTTGAATCGGATATATAAACTTTAGGTCTATAAACTTTAAACTTTAGGTGTATAAACTTTAGATGTATAGAAATACTATATATAAAAAATATTTGAATTCAAATTTAAATTTGAATCGGATATATAAACTTTTGACTTATAAACTTTTGATCTCTAAACTTTAGATGTGTAAACTTGAGGTGTATAAACTTTAGGTGCATAAATTTACTAAAATAGGAAAGTAATACGGTGCCAAAAAAGAAAACCAGGTGGAGGGAGGGAGGGGGAGGAGGGGGGAATCGATCGCTCTGAGCGAGCGATCGCTCGCTCAGTAGCATTTCCACCAGGAGTTGAAGTTATCGATATACCCTCTACCCCTTAGGCATAATAGTTATAGGAGAAAATGTGCACAACTCAATCATTTTGCAGTCCCATTGCGCTTTTTAGAATAAATAATATTGTGCACCACTATCATAGTATGGATTTTGGTTTATGCTATCGAATGTTTACTATTTATCAAATATAATTAGTGTCAATGGCAAATAATGGTGGTGCTTGCGGTTTAATTCTTTTGTGTAATCACTAGAAGTAAGCATGCACTGTTATAGGCCCTTCGTGTCATATTTTCCCTTTTTTTAGGGAAGGGGGCAGATATGTTATAATGCCACTGCTCAATAATAAATTTATTCATAGTTTATATTTTGTTTAATTAGATGCTAGACTATGAAATTTCATCACCTGTTGTCAAGCTGGAGTCCCCAGTGAAAACCTCTGTATGGAACCATTATGCTTTCATTAAATTCCATCACCTTGGAAAACTGGTTTTGGGTAATAGTAATCCCTGTAATCTGTATATTTTGGTGTGTGCTTAATTGTATGCATTGAAAGATTGTATTAAGTTATGAGCACTAACCAAATGGACAGGCTTGCTTTCAGTCTCCTGACTTTTGCCTAATTGTCTCTATTCCTCTGAAATCCGTCATGCATGTGCAGCGTTTTGAGGATTTGGATAAACAATACTTTATTGTCAAACTTGACGATGATGACTTCTCACGCACTGAAAATCATCACCATGGTTTTTCATTTTTATCATATGAATTACTCTTTGTGGTTGCTTAAGGAATAGTGGACTTCTAACTGAATATGATACCGACATGCCTTGCACGTGCACGATTACTAGTAATATTTGAAGTTCTGGTAACGTCTGAATTCATCTACTAATCTTTTACTTCTTCGGTTTCGTATTATAAGACTTTTTAGCATTGTCCACATTCATATATATGTTAATGAATCTAGATATATATGTGTGTCTAGATTCATTAATATCTATATGAATGTGGGCAATGCTAGAAAGTCTTATAACCTGACCTGAAACAGAGGTAGTAGAAGTTGAGAAAATTGGATTTTAGAGAGACGTCTCAATCAAGCATAACCATACTGCAATAACTTTTTTTATCAAATGATGAGTTGTTACTTTTTTTGTGTAAAAATGAAATAGGATGCTAGATAAAACAGATTTGTTAATTGTTATTTGACATAAAACTAGGGAGCAAATCTTACGGGATTTGGACCATCTAATTGGCTTGAAGATTCGTTACATGTTGAGGTGGAAATATGTCACATGTTGTATAGGTAGCACTGAGACTTAAAAGAAGAAAAAAAAGGCGAATAAGGGTGTCCACAATGTATGACATAAGGAGGGTAGAGTAGTTTTTATATGTGTTCTTTGGATGAGCCATCCTTATTGTATAAGGACCGGTCACAAGCACACTACATGCAATAAAAAAACACACACGCACACTCTCTCACTACTATTTTTTCTCCCAAACGGTTTCTTACCGCCATGGGAAAGAAGGGAAGAAGAATATAATGGAACCTTGCCATGGAAAGGGGAAGAAAGCTCGAAACACCCGGATGGAGTTGCTGTTGCCGGAGATCCGCCTGCGAGAGTCGCCTCCGCCGCTGCTTTCTCCGTCACGAGCACCGACGCTGGTGCCAACGCCTCTGCCGCCGCCGGATCGCCCGCGAGCATCGTCACTGACGCTGATGCATCCGGCCAAGCCTGCGAGCACCGACGCCACCGTCGATTCCGGTCCTGCCTGCGAGCACCGTCGCCTACAGTGACGGATCTAGCCACGCCTGCGAGTGCTGACGCCGGATCCGGCCGTGCCCGCGTGCACCGACGCCATTGCCGGAACCGGCCGCGCCTGCAAGCGCTCGCGAGAGAAAAGGGGATCAGATGAAGAGAAGGAGAAGAGAAGGGGTAGTTGAGGAGTGGTAAAAATTTTTATTTAGATGGGACCCACCTTGAGGACCAATTTGCTATGTATACATTGTAACAAGTTGTCAGGGTTATGGATACCACATACCTAATAGTACTTGACTAAATCTCGGCAGGACCCACCACATACCATGTCCTATACGAAAATAACCTGCGGATATAGGAGGAGTTCCGATAATGAAAGACAACCAGAGTTCTACATGGAAACGACAAGGACTACTCGGATTGTATCCATATTGGTTTCCCTAGTTCTACTTGGACAAGGGGACACCTATGGGTATAAATACAAGACCCCCTAGGAGGAGAGAGGAGACACCCACCACAATCTATGGAACAATAGATCAAGATAGAAGATCAACATACAAGCCAACATACGCCAAGACAAGACGCCGGGTATCGACTTCAGAGATAGGCACGGCTAGTCCCCTACGGTGTTTCCGGATACTGTCAGGAGAGACGAAAGCGCTATCTTTGATCTCGCCGGGCACGGATTTGAGGAGGAAGACTACCCGGTTGTCGACTACGAGTCAGACCTTCAGACCGTCATGTCGACAACAGTTAGATAGGCTACCCTAAATATTGTACTGGTGTGATTATGGTGAATAAGAGCAATATCGGCTTCGGCCAACAAGATATAGGGTTATTACCTGACAATTTAAGGGCCCGAACCTGTATAAAAATCCTCGTCTCTATCTCTTTTACCTCAGTCTCGCATATACCCTAATACCAACGATCCCTATACCATGCAAATACCGGAATCGCGATATCAAACATCGACACAAGTATTATTAGTTAAAGGCTGAATTCATATGGGCCCACCTTAAGGACCACTTAGCCATATACATTGCTCATATCCGATTTAGCCATATACATTGCTCATATCCGATGGGTTGATCTTACTACAATATGGATGTTTGGTACCCCGTATCATTTTTGGCTCTATTCTATATTACATTTTCGCAAATTCTACTCCCTCGTTTTCACGCGCATGTTTCCTAAACCGTTAACGTCACTTTTTAAAAACAATTTATATAGAACAGTTATTCTAAAGATCACTATATTGTTCATTTAAGTTTATTTAAGTTAAAACTTAATTAGTCACGTGTTAATCCATCGGCCTATTTTTACGTGCTGGTGAAGGCTTCCTAAACCTCCGAGAACACATCCAAATTTTTCACCTGTCCAATATTCAAAACTAAAACTCCGATTTGAAAAGATGTACACGTTTCACTTTGCAATATACAATATTCTTTGGAGACATGAAACCAACCACACTTGCCCGCTACCCACTCTGATCTATCTCCACTGTCCTCTGTTCATATTAAGCCCTTGTTTAGTTAAAAAAAATTAAGTTTAATTATCACATCGAATATACATACGAACATTTGAAGTATTAAACATAACCTAATAACAAAACAAATTACAGATTCTGCCAGGAAACTGTGAGACGAATTTATTAAGTCTAATTAATCCGTCATTATCAAATGTGTACTGTAGCACCACATTGTCAAATCATGGCGTAATTAGAATTAAAAGATTCATCTCGCAATTTACACGTAATCTGTGTAATTGGTTTTTTCGCCTACATTTAATATTTCATACATTTATCAAACATTTGATGTGACAGCGTGAATTTTTTTTTAACTAAGTGGGACTAAAAAGAAGTTGTAGTACTAAGGGTGTGTTTGGATAATGGGAAATGGAGGGTGGGATTGGGATTAGAAAATGAATGAAAGATTAGGATTAAATAAAAGAGGGAGAATGAATTGTTAGGATTTAAAGATGACTTTTGATGGATGGGAAATCATTTCCCCTATCCCATTAGCCAAACACTGCCTAACTGTTCACCTAACTGGGTTCAACTGTACTGTAGTAGTACAGCGCACAGGCCACGCGTGCGCGTCCACCGAAACAGCGGCGGCGACGACGAGGCGATCGATTCCTGGACACTCGCGCCACGCCACCCCACTGTCCCTGCACGCTGCAGCTACCCCTACTCTACCACTGCCCTCTCCGGCAGGGAAGCGAGGAAGAGGCACGCACCACGAAGTCGCCACCTCGATTTTTCCGGCGAACGACGCAAGAATAACACCCCCCCCCCCCTTACCTACGGGGATAGTGATACGATGGCGATGGCGGCCGCTTCCGCCTCCGCCATGGCGAGGCGGGCCGCTTCGTGGCCACGGCTCCTCCTCCTCTCCCGCGCCTTCGCCGCCGCCGCCGCTGAGCCGAAGCGGGTGCTCGTGCCGGTCGCGGACGGCACGGAGCCGGTGGAGGCGGCCGCCACCGCCGACGTGCTCAACCGCGCCGGCGCGCGGGTCACCGTCGCCACGGCTGACCCCGCGGGCGACGACCGTGGCCTCCTGGTGGAGGCCGCGTTCGGGGTCAAGCTCGTCGCCGACGGCCGCGTCGCCGACCTGGAAGGCGAGGCCTTTGACCTCATCGCCCTACCCGTGCGTCCACCCTTTACTCCTAAAATTACTTCCTTTTTTTTCTCCCCCTTAACAACTACTCCCTCCGTTGCTCCCTCCGTTTCATATTACTAGTCGATTTAACTTTTGCAAACATTTTTAAGTTTGACCAAATTTATAGAAAAATATAACAATACGAAGCAAACGTATTATGAAAATATATTTAACATTACATTTAATTGAACTAATCTAGTGTTCCAGATATTGCTAAATTTTTCATTAAATTTGGTCAAACATAAAGAAATTTGACGAAGAAAAAAAAAGGTCAAAGTGACTTATAATATGAAATGGAGGGAGTACTAATTCTGCTTTACTGTGCCATTGATTCGCGCTCTGTGAGGATGTTCTTGCTTAATAAGAGAGAACTTGTATGGACTAGCAAAAGTGTGACAATTCAGTGATGCTGGTTACTTGGTGTAGGGAGGAATGCCGGGATCAGCTAACCTCAGAGATTGCAAGGTGCTGGAGAAGATGGTCAAGAAGCAGGCAGAGCAGGGTGGCCTCTACGCCGCCATCTGCGCCACGCCGGCGGTGACGCTGGCTCACTGGGGCTTGCTCAAAGGCTTAAAGGTTGCAACATGGATCATCATTCAGTCAGGGTCAATTCACTGTTGCGGGGGTGGTTTTGTTGGAAATATGTATCATGTTGAGAGACAGATATGATTTTTGTTATTTCAGGCGACTTGCTATCCATCATTCATGGAGAAGTTCACCGCTGAAATTATCCCTGTGAACTCTAGGGTGGTGGTAGATAGAAATGCAGTGACCAGCCAAGGGCCAGCAACAGCAATTGAATATGCTCTCGCTTTGGTGGAGCAACTGTACGGCAAAGAGAAGTCGGAGGAGGTTGCAGGACCCTTGGTAAGCTATATAGCCTGTAAGCCATCACATACTTGTTTTTTTTTACTTCTATCTGCTATGTTAGGTGATATGATATTATTACCAGGCGATGATCTCAAAGAGATGTTTATGGGCTGTTGGATTTTCCTAAAATTCTGCCTGCAGTGATTCAATCAATTATCTGAGTGATTTATGGTTTCTAACTAGTTGACATAATTATAATCATACTGAAATTTAGAGTAAGGCAATATGTCGCAATCTTTTAGGACATTTTTTTTTCCGAACGCGCAAAAGGATTGCACGTCAATATATTAGCAGGAAAAGAGTTTTTGTTACACATTTAGGACATTTAATTGTTACTGTAATCTCTCCCTTCAAATCTTAATACAAATGATACGCAATGCTTATGCGTGTTCCCTAAAAAAAGTTACTTTTGCTGAGTTCACTCGAATTGTTTTCGTGCATATTGTATCAACATCAGCTGCTTAAATTAACATTGCCTAATGATTGTGTGGTTCTTCTAATTCAGTATGTTCGTCCTCAACCTGGGGTTGACTATGTCATAGATGAGTTCAATTCAGTTGAGTGGAAATGCAGTGGTACACCTCAGGTATGAAATAAAATTGAATCCTTTTGTTAAAAAATGCCTCCTTATATACATTTTTAAGGTTGCATGAATAGGTTCTTGTCCCATGGCACAGGTCTTCGCCTGCTTAAAAATGTTTTAGCTGTTGCTATGAAATTCTGTCATTTTTTTTTCGCCGGGCTGCAGGAAGGAATCCCTGGTCAGGGTTTATTAAGTAAGCATAAGGTGTGATTTACATGACTCAACAACCATGCTAGCACTTCCCTTTTTTGGGTCTTCTGCAGGTTCTTGTGCCAGTTGCTAATGGTTCGGAGGAAATGGAAGCTCTTAATTTAATAGATATCTTGCGTAGAGCAGGAGCAAATGTTACTGTTGCATCAGTTGAGGATAAGTTGCAAGTTGTGACCCGCCGCCACAAATTTAACCTGATAGCTGATATTATGGTGGAAGAAGCTGCCAAAAGGGAATTCGATCTGATTGTCATGCCGGTACATTCCATAGCTAGAGTTACTTTTTGATTGATCTGGTGTTGATCTTTTGAATACTTCGCTGATACTGGTGTCATATATAGGGTGGTCTGCCAGGTGCTCAAAAGCTTTCTAGTACAAAGGTACTTGTAGATTTACTAAAGAAACAGGCAGAATCTAATAAACCATATGGTGCAATATGCGCTTCTCCTGCTTATGTTCTCGAGCCCCATGGTTTACTGAAGGTATTCCCCTTTATATGTGCATGAGTGTTAATCCCTCTCGGTAGTCAGCTCTTTTTTTTTTGGAACAAATTCAGTAGTCAGCTCCATAGGCATATAAATGATTATTCCTCAAAGTAGCAGATTAACCATCAAGCTGTATTTCCTTTTGAAAAAAAACTGTCAAGCTGTATTAACATAGATGTTTCCATCATTTTAGGGGAAGAAGGCAACATCATTTCCACCAATGGCACACCTGCTTACTGATCAGAGTGCATGTGACAGTAGGGTGGTTGTTGATGGTAACCTTATCACTAGCAAAGCCCCAGGCTCCGCGACAGAGTTCGCGCTAGCCATTGTTGAGAAGCTGTTTGGTCGAGAGAAAGCGGTCAGTATAGCGAAGGAGTTGATTTTTATGTGATTATACACTTGGGCATTTATGCATCAGGTGCCTGTCACCTGTGAGTGATGCTTCTGTGAATAACTACTTATGCTGCTTTCCTAGGAATGCATAATATAAGCCTATAGCAGCATGTGGCAATCCATGTGAATGAGGAATAAATGTACATTATGAGTATCATGTGTAAAGAGTCGTCGTTGTTAGATTTCGGTGAGTTTACGCTGTCTTACAGTTACCTGGATAGATCTTGACTCTTGTTTCTGAGGCCCAAGGCTTGCAGAAAAATGGCATGGCAATGTTTAGTTCTCAAAGGCACAGGATCTGAATCCTATCATGTGGAACTAATACGATCTGAGATAGAGGGACTGCATTGAGAACCTGTTTGATGGATAGAAAGAAAGGAACCTGTTGAGACTTTGGAATCTGTTGCATCAATCTTTTCGAATGTTTAGCAAAATACTTTCTATTATGATTGTCACTTTCACATCATCATCAGGAGGACTAATGTGTGATTGAAACGACATGAGTGTAATGCACTAGGAAAGTGCATCTTTCTGTGTCTTGAAAACGAAAATTGTGCCATGACATAGTAATTCTGTGCCTTTTTTTGGCTCTCAATGCATTATATGCTTCTATTTATCATACTGTTGAGTGACTCATTTTAAGTCTGTTTTTAGCACTGCTATCTGTTAAGCAATGGACTCCTGGGAAGTAGGCAGACATTACTTGGCTAATGGCTATCCATATCACCATGTGTTTAGTCAAACACTTTGTTCATTGCTGGTTTCCCACAATGTGGGCTCAACATTAATGTCAAAAGAATAGATTCTGCTAGATCAGTGCAAGAACCAATTTCAGTTTTGCTACATCAGCATTGCAAGGGTAATTTTTCACACCAATCATATTCAGAATTTCAGATGCATAGCATTTTTTTGTGCTTCCACTGTGCCCTTTGCGTGATATGTGTACCATGGAAGAAATTGACAGTGACAACACAAATGTTGCTTTTGGCAGAGCTGCAAAACAATATTTATTTATTTTCCCCCTCAAACTTTCCGAGGATTATGGTCACTGCAAGCCGTTTGAGGTTTACACAGACAAGATTATAAAAATTTCATTATTCTCAAAACGAAGTCCACTAGAAAAAAAGAGTAAATATTATACTTTTTAACTTTCCAGAGAGGACAAACTCATACTCGATATAAAATTCAGAAACAAGGCCATCTGAACGCCAGGTGTTCAAGATTATGCTTGATTACTCATTGGTCCCCTTAAGGAATTAGCTAATTGCAGTGGCTATAAGCTATGAGTTGCTTAACCAATCATAGCCGGTTAATTACCTCCGATAGATTCTCTTTTAGATATGGATGAAAATCCAGCCTCTATATCCATTGGTGGATATACACAGCCTAAAATCTCTGATAGATGAACATCAACGTCTATAGAAGGTCACAGTCAACACATCCTGGAGCTCCCACGCTTGCGTTGACAAAGTTTGCCATGTATGATCGCTTGAAATAATATATTTAGATGGGTATTTCTTCCCAGCGACCATCTTAAAAAGAACAACACAACTAGAGGCAGAGTCTACAACCTTCGTGAAAAAAACAAATCCCAAAATCATTGTCTATGAATTTGGAGAGCCGTAAAAAACAATCATGTATATATTTAATATTGTCTATATTTATATGAATGGATTGATATTTTTTAAGACGGAGGATGTACATCACTGGAGCTAAAGAAAAAGAACAGTTGACAGGTGGTGACTGAATGAACAGAAAAGAACTGTTAGACAAACGGTGCGAACGCCAGACCTAAACTCATGGGAGAGACAAGATGTTCTTGAATCCTACTCCTAAATTGGAAATCCTTAACATCAACCTGATTATCCTAATAGTAGGGCTGGGGCAAATATAGTACTCAATTCTCCATTTTAGGGAAAAATATATAACTCATGGTTTTTCAATGGCAGAATGACAATTCAAACCTTTTTATGCACTATTGGCATACGAGCAATTCTTTCCAACATTATTTATATACAAAGAAGTGTTATTGTTTTTTTGCAGTGACAAAGAAGTGTTATATACAAGCTGGCTTATTTCTTAAGAGTAACATGCTATTGTTTATTTATTATGAAGCCATTAAGAGGTCCCTTTTTTGTTGAATTCATTCATAGGTCCAGTTTTGTGTATAATTTATTTCTTTTGTTGTTAATATGTAAAGTGGTGATTCTATCACATCAATATTTTCCTGAAGAATGTGATCTTATTATACAAGAATTATACGGTGAAATTAGTTAATTTATGCCATATGCTCAATGATATGCCTTAAAATATTGTTTGAATATTTTATATTTTCCTCTCTTTTTAAATTGTTTGACTGTTTTTGCCTTCTAGCTAGTCATTGCCTTACAACCGATATGATTGTTCAAACTACAGTTCAATGTCCAAGTCTTATTTAAGCAGAGTTTCGATACTCTTTGGACCACCTAGAGCCAACGTGGCCTACTTGATCACTTGGCAAAATAGCAGTTGGGAAACACGTGAAGTTTGGATGAATAGCAGTTGTTCCCCTCAACTTTTTTGTACAACCTCCTGTAGTCTCTCCCCATTTCATGTTTTTTCATCACCATTCATCGGTACATGTGATGAAAGTCCTTACGTACTAATGGGGTATTAAGATTGATAGGACCATGAATTCAATTGCCACTACGGAATTCAATTACAAGAAAAATTCTGTACCATCATATATAAGGTTATATCTACCAGAAACCATAATTCATGCGAAACGAAAATACCTTGCATTACTAAAGAAGAAAGGAATTTTGAAATTACGAGGGGATAAATCTTATAAGAATTGCAGTATGTGCCCTTTGAAATAATCATTCTAGTAAAAAAAAATTGACGTTCAGAGTAAAATTCGGTCAAAATTTTGAGACTTTGACTATCAATCTTATACCATTATTTTGAATCAAATATGCATATACCCTTTTTCCAAACTAAGTATTTGAGAAATTAATGATGCCTAGAGTTTCAAAAGTTTAACCAAACCTTATCTTAAATGTCATTTTATGATTAGAGGGATTATCAAATTTGAACTTAAAAAGTTAGGGAAAAGCGAAATAAATACCTCCCAAATAAAACGTTACGTACCTTTTGCTGTTACATCATTATTGATATTTTATAAATATTCTTCCTTATAATTACAAAAACATGAAACACTAAGATTGTATTTGGTTGGTGAGATATGGGTGGATAAGACATGGCTGCCACTTTTTTGAGGTGTTTGGTTGAAGGGATGAGTGTGGGATATGCCCACCACCTATAAGAAGTATTGTCTGTAGATACTGGATATCTGGGTCTAGGCGAATTGGTCCGATGAAACGTCTAGGGGAAAGATTAAGGCTCTGTTTGATTCATCCTAGGATTATTATAATCTAGATTATTAGAAATAATATGAAACAAACTAATAGCTTATTATTGATAAATTATTATAATCTATAAGCCAGATTACTATAATTTGGTAATCCACTCTAAATGTGCTTTTTTTTCAAATTATTGGGCGGCTAAAAACCCACTTTCCCTAGCTAGATACTTAAAAAAAATACCCACCTTGCCATCGAACCAAACAAATTGGGCTCCTTCACCCACTCGGCGCACGCATTGACCTTCTCCTCCCCTGGCTGCACGTGCATCAGCCTCCTCCTCCTCGGGCCGCGCCACCACTTCCTCCCGTGGTCGCGCACGCATTGCCCTCCTCCTTCCCGGCCGTGTCGCCACCTTTCCCACTCTGCACTCGGCTTCTTGCCCGATCCGCGCCGCTGCCGCGCCCCGGCTCCTTCCCCAGGCCATGCGCCGCCGCCATTCCATAGTGACGAAGAGTTTGATTGGTGTGATAACGATGAAAACTATATGCCGATACCTTCATCTCAAGGGAATGCTAGTCAATTGGGAGACGAAGAGGGGGACACAAATATCTTCTGTGATAATATTGCCGATGCTTTATTTGATAGGAGATAATAATTTGATGCTCAGTCTATTGTAAAAAAGAAAGTGTTCATGAATGTTTTATTTATTACTATTTCAAATTATTTTTTTGTTGTTTACATCGACAAAAGGATGAACAATACATCTAAAATAGCTGAGGGCATTGTAGACATTAGCATTTCAAACCCAGTAATCCATGCCTCCAATAATAATAAGCTAAAATAAACAAGGCCTAAGTTAATCATGCTAACTCGTGCTGGCTCAGGCATGCGAGTCCTCTAGTCGGACTAGGCACAGTTCGACATGGTTGGTCATGGGGCATCCTATGCTTGGGCCGCTACCACGGCACGTCACAACCCGGTTGTTATAGCGGGCCAGCATGACACAAAGCATGCAAGCATGCATGTCCCAGTCCAACTTCCTTTTTTTTTCATATTTTTCATGTGGGAATCAATTTTCTTATGGTTTCCCTATATTTTTATGATTTTTCTATTTTTTTTATGGACCAGTCAGGCCGATAGATCGTCCTTGGTGCATGGGCCTACTTATGCCTGGGCTATCACGACATGCCCTGTAGCCTCCTTGTGTCGTGCCTAGGTTGAGGCCTCGGCATGTGGGCCCGCACATGTCATGCAACTGTGGTGCTCATGCCATGCTGGGCTGGGCCACCCGTTTCGACACAAATGAACGAAGCGTAACGTTAATGCATGCACTTCTTACACTCACTGGAGAGGCTCCTAGTTTGCTTAGCTGCCTAGCAGCAAAAGTCGCGTTGTCCTCCATGTCCGGATCGAAGCCCATCATCAATGTATTTAGATCAGAGCCACACGTTGAGCTGCGCTTCACGACGGGACCACCGCCAAAACACTTGTTTTTCTTCCGTTTAATATTCTAGTTTACAACTTTCTATAATAAAATATTAATTCAAGGTTTTAACATTTTAGTTGAAAGTTTTAAAAATTGTGTTGAAACTTTTAAATTTTATACTGGAAGTTTCAAATTTTGTGTTGTAAGTTTCAAACTTTGGATTGACTTTTTTTTAGCAAATGTTTTAAATTTGAGTTAAAAGTTTCAAATATGGGTAGTGTTTTTAGATTTTGTACTGAATGTTTTAGAACTTGAGTTGAAACTTTTAGAATTTAAGTTGAGAATTTTAAATTTTGAGTTGAATGTTTTGAAATTTTGGGTTGAGTTTTTTAAACTGTCGATAAAAAAATAAATTTGAGCTAAAAGTTTCAAATTTTGAGTAGAGTTTTTCAAATTTGAGTTGATTGTTTTAAACCATTGAAAAAGCTGGAGCATGGGAACTCAAGAGTTACGATTCTTTTTTTTTTCAGGGAAGGGGTGAATTCTATTGATTAAACAGAGTGATTACAATCCCGTAGGACAATATCATGAATACTAGGAGGAGCATCAAGTCTCCACACTGCATTATTGCTAGTCCTTTTGGTTAATTGAGCTAGTTCATGAGACACTCTATTACACCCTCTTCCAACATGATTTAGATGGACTTCAGGAAGTAAACCAACAAAACTCCTCGCTTCCACCAACAAGGCACACCATCTTGATTTAGGTCCTCTTTGTTTAGGCTTAGGTTTATTGGCCTAGACTTTTAAGTCAGCTTATTAGCTTATATGATTTATAAGCCGGTGGATTTAATGTCCTAAGTTTAGTGGTTGAGTCATACATCTACCTCACATAAGCCAAAAAAGCTTCTCCAACCTAGCTTTTGGCTTAATAGTGTTAGAGTGGCTTATGGCTTCAAAAAAGCCAAACGGAAAAGCTGCTTGTTTGTTTAGGCTTAGACTTTTCGACTTATAAGTTGGCTTATAAGCCTAAACAAAGAAAGCCTTATTTTGCCCAAGGGCCATGAGCTTAATCACTTCTGAGCAATCAGTTTCGAGGATAATAGACATATTGATCCATTTAGCCGATAATGCCAATCCTTCTTTGCACGCCATGACTTCAACTTCTTCGGGCTGAGGTGCTGTGAAAATGGGTCCGCCGTGAGGAAAGAAGTACTTCCCCTCTACAATTCTTGATAACCACTCCCACTCCGACGTCTCTTGTTTAAATCTATTCAAAATCACTTCAAATATCGAATTGCTAAAAATGAACTTATTGTGCTCATATTTCAGGTAGGCCCATCCAAACCCATCAAGCGAGCTATAGTTATCGATGCCACGCGTCAAGCACTCAGCTGGCGTATGTGTGAGGGAGATATTTGAAAGTTGGCAAAATTACATAAACCATCCCATACCCCCATTTTGTTATAGAAGCCCACCCACCGAACACTACCAGACCGAGATTGCTCTCTTCATGGATAGTTGGTTATGCCCATATTCTTCAAATATGACACCAAATTTAGTGTTAGGGGCAAAATTGCATAAACAAAGTTGATATGGTACTATGCGAATCTACGTTGAAAAAAATGGACCGAATCAGCTACTCACTTTGTGTTGGGTGGGTAGGGTTTTTATTTTAACAAAATGGATTATCAAGTGGAATTTCAAAACAAAATGACTATGCAACTCCATTCCAATTTATCATATTGTTCATGTGCGCAACATCGATGGTGGGAGTGGAGTCACTCAGTCTGGACTCTGTAGTGGAGTTACTTGGTCACGTACTCACATGACATATCTTCAAATGGATAGCTGATTCGGCCTGTTTCTTTAAATGTGATAACAAATAAAGTGTCAAGGCAAAATAGCCTATGCCAATTCACTGTGAATCCACGTCGAAAGAAATAAGCCAAATTAGCCACTCACATGTATTGGTTGGGTGGGCTTTTAACAAAACAAACCTCAAAACAAAATGATTGAGTGACTCCACTCCATTTTATCATATTATTCACGTGCAAGGCAGCGGTGGTGAGAGTGGGGGCCACTCAATCTGGACTCTAGAGTAGAGTTACTCAGTCACATGAGTTATTGTTAAATGGGTAGTTAATTTGGCCTATTTCTTCAAATGCGACAACAAATAAAGTGTCAAGGCAAAAAAAAACATAAAGCATATCTTGCTGCAAATCCACGTCAAAAGAAAATAAGCCAAATTAGCTACGTATGCGCATTGTTTGTGTGGGGGTTTTCAACAAAATGGGTTATCGTGTGGATCTCAAAACAAAATGACTCAGAGTAACTCCGCTCTATTTTATCACATTATTCACGTGTAAGGCAGCGATGGAGAGAGTGAACTATAGTAAAGTTACTCAGTCGCACACTCTTAAATGAATAGTTGATTCCACCCATTTCTTAAAATGTAACAACAAACAAAGTGCCCAGGCAAAAATACACAAACCCAAATTAGCTACTTATGTTTATTAGTTAGGTGAGTTTTACAACAAAATAATATATCATACGAAATCCCAAAACAAAATGGCTGAGCGACTCCGTTCTATTTTATCACATTATTCACGTGTCGGACAGCGACGGCGGGGCAGTGAAGTCACTCAGTCTGGACTCTCTGAAGTGGAGTTACTACTCACGTGACGTTACTTTTTTTGGGAAGTGTGTGCGCTGCGATCAGAAGTAGCCAAGCGTGCGCGAAATAGCATTCCCGACGCTCACCTCCCCTCCCCCCCTCCCCCCGCATCGTTTTCTCTCACTCTCCTTTCCTCACTTTTCCTCTCTCTGACCGAATCTCTCCCACTCCTCTCTACTCCTCTCAACCCTAGCTCGCCTCTACCCTCTCTGCTCATCGGGCGGCGCAGGGGAAGGAAGGCGGCGTCCGGCTGCGCGGAGCCCGGCGAGGGAGGAGGCGGCGTCAGGGGGGACCGGCGCGGGAGGGCGGCGTTCGGCGTTCGGCGCGGGGGGCGGCGGCGTCCGGCCGACTGCGGCGGCGGCTAGATCCGGCGAAAGAGGCTGCATCAGCGCCGATTCCCCGACTCCCCAACCCTCAAACGGTAGCGAGGTATACTCGGTTGTTTTCCCCTCAGGTCTCAGGCTGATCAGACGCCGCACTGCCGATTTCCCCCTCGGGCGAGCCATCGGAGCGGGGGCCGTTGGCTCCCAAAGCAGACGCGAGAATTCACTGAAATTACCGCGCCATCTTATCTCCGCAAGTTGAAGAATATAATTCGGGCGCAGTAATTTTTAGTGAATTCATGTGTCTACTACTACATATGTCTGCTTGGGAGCCAACCGCGTTTCGATGGCTCGCCTGAGGGGAAATCGGCGGGAGGCGTTTGGTCAGCTTTGCTGGTAGTGGGGGGAATTTCACCTAATGATTGAATGATGGGATATGCTGGGTAAAGGAAGGTATGGTTATTTTATATTATCTAGAAGAGGGTAAAAAAGGGAGATGGTCCTTTGGGGGCTGTTTGTCTTGTTTACATGGGTTTAGGAAATATTGCTTAAATGGATATAAAGTTGAAAAATGTACTTGAGGGAAGTTGTAGGTGCACGTGGGGTCCCACAATTTTTCTTCACTAGTGCACCTTTAGTTATATATTTTTTGCGCAAGAGGACAAAGGCGCTCCGTGTAATTTTGAGTAAGGGCCGGCGGGATATTTATTTGTGTAAAGGACCTAGCCAAGAAAAGCATGATAGTGCATATGTATCCTTTCTTTTTCTTTTCTTTTGTTTTCATAACTGTCTTACAGAATTTCATGTTGGCTGGTGACACTTGTCTCACTCATTATTTGGTATATTTTGACTAAATGCAACGTGTTGGTGCTCGGTAGTTTATATTTGTTTTTACGCATTCTTCATTGACTGTATGTATTTGATGTTGATACCCTGGGCTGTCTTATTTTATAGGTGGATGCTGGGAGGCCACATAGGAGGCCTGTGTGATCCAAGTGTGCTGCTCCTGAGTTGAAATTGCATAGCCATATAGCAACTACTGGTGTAAACTTGAGAGATGAAGTAGTGAAAGGAAATATGCAGGATTTTGGACAATGGCTGCCTCAATCTCAGACCACTGCCGATCTATATTTCTCCAGTATTCCAATACCATCACAGTTCGATACTTCCATAGAGACGCAGACTAGAACTTCTGCAGTTGTATCGTCAGAGAAAGAATCTGCTAATTCGTTCGTCCCTCATAATGGTACTGGGCTTGTTGAACGCATTAGCAATGATGCTGGGCTAACTGAAGTAGTTGGAAGTAGTGCTGGACCAACTGAATGTATTGACTTGAACAAGACACCAGCACGGAAACCCAAGAAGAAAAAGCACAGGCCAAAGGTGCTAAAGGACGATAAACCATCGAAGACACCTAAATCTGCTACTCCAATACCTTCAACAGAAAAGGTAGAAAAACCATCTGGAAAGAGAAAATATGTCCGCAAGAAGACATCTCCAGGCCAACCTCCTGCAGAACAGGCAGCTAGCTCACACTGCAGATCTGAGCTGAAGTCAGTTAAACGAAGTTTGGACTTTGGTGGAGAAGTACTGCAAGAGAGTACACAATCTGGATCTCAAGTTCCGGTGGCAGAAATATGTACTGGTCCCAAGCGTCAATCAATACCTTCTACCATCCAAAGAGATTCGCAAAGCCAGTTGGCTTGCCACGTGGTTTCTAGCACCAGCTCAATTCACACTTCAGCTAGTCAGATGGTTAATGCACATTTGTTTCCTCCTGATAACATGCCAAATGGAGTATTGCTTGACCTCAATAATTCTACTAGTCAGTTACAAAACGAACATGCTAAATTTGTGGACAGTCCGGCACGTCTTTTTGGTTCCAGAATAAGACAGACATCAGGTAAAAATTCTTTGCTAGAAATCTATGCTGGCATGTCAGATAGAAATGTACCTGATCTCAACAGTTCAATCAGTCAGACGCATAGCATGTCTACTGATTTTGCTCAATACTTGCTTTCATCCTCACAAGCTTCTGTAAGGGAAACACAAATGGCCAATCAGATGCTTAATGGTCATAGGATGCCAGAAAATCCAATTACACCTAGTCATTGTATTGAAAGGGCTGCATTGAAGGAACATTTGAATCATGTTCCTCACGCAAAAGCCGCAGTGATGAATGGCCAAATGCCCCATAGTTACAGGTTGGCGCAAAATCCCATCCTACCTCCAAATCATATTGAAGGGTATCAAGTGATGGAAAATTTGAGTGAACTTGTCACGACAAATGACTATCTAACTGCTAGTCCTTTCAGTCAAACTGGAGCTGCAAATAGGCAGCATAATATTGGTGACTCCATGCATATACATGCATTGGATCCTAGAAGAGAGAGTAATGCTTCAAGTGGTTCTTGGATATCATTAGGTGTGAACTTTAACCAACAAAATAATGGATGGGCATCTGCAGGTGCTGCCGATGCTGCGAGCTCACATGCCCCATATTTTTCAGAACCTCACAAAAGAATGAGGACAGCTTATCTTAACAATTATCCAAATGGAGTCGTGGGACATTTTTCTACCTCATCTACGGATTTGTCAAATAATGAGAATGAAAATGTGGCCTCAGCAATCAACTCAAACGTTTTTACCCTTGCTGATGCACAAAGATTGATAGCCCGTGAGAAATCACGAGCTTCCCAAAGAATGATCAGTTTTAGATCATCTAAAAATGATATGGTTAACAGATCAGAAATGGTCCATCAACATGGCAGACCTGCTCCGCATGGCTCTGCATGCAGGGAGTCTATTGAAGTACCTGACAAACAGTTCGGGCTCATGACAGAAGAACTCACACAATTACCTAGTATGCCAAATAACCCACAAAGGGAAAAATATATTCCGCAAACTGGAAGTTGCCAACTTCAGTCTTTGGAACATGACATGGTTAAAGGGCATAACTTGGCAGGTGAATTGCATAAGCAAGTAACTTCACCTCAAGTTGTTATTCAGAGCAATTTCTGTGTTACCCCTCCTGATGTGCTCGGCAGAAGAACCAGTGGGGAGCATTTAAGAACCCTTATAGCTCCAACACATGCATCGACATGTAAGGACACTCTGAAAGCTTTAAGTTGTCAACTGGAGAGTTCTAGAGACATTATTAGGCCTCCTGTCAATCCTATAGGGCCATCCTCTGCCGATGTTCCAAGAACTGATAACCATCAAGTCAAGGTTTCTGAAGAAACCGTTACAGCCAAACTCCCTGAGAAGCGAAAAGTAGGACGTCCCAGAAAAGAGTTAAAACCTGGTGAGAAACCAAAACCTAGAGGCCGTCCAAGGAAGGGAAAAGTTGTTGGTGGAGAACTTGCATCAAAGGATAGTCACACTAATCCATTGCAAAATGAGAGTACTTCATGTTCTTATGGTCCTTATGCAGGGGAGGCTTCTGTTGGAAGAGCAGTTAAAGCAAATAGAGTTGGAGAAAACATTTCTGGAGCTATGGTATCCCTACTGGATTCTTTAGATATTGTTATTCAAAAGATAAAGGTCTTGGACATAAACAAATCAGAAGACCCTGTGACAGCTGAACCTCATGGTGCTCTTGTCCCTTACAATGGAGAATTTGGTCCTATTGTTCCTTTTGAGGGGAAAGTGAAAAGAAAACGCTCTCGAGCCAAAGTGGATCTTGACCCTGTAACTGCTTTAATGTGGAAGTTACTAATGGGACCAGATATGAGTGATTGTGCTGAAGGTATGGATAAGGATAAAGAGAAATGGCTAAATGAAGAAAGAAAAATATTCCAAGGGCGTGTTGATTCATTTATTGCTCGAATGCATCTAGTTCAAGGTATTTCTATCATTTTAAAATTGTTTTCCTAACATGAACATGATGGCTTCCATCTTGTGATTGCTGCCCTCACATTAGTGAATGGTCTCAAATCTTCAATATTTACTGTGTACCCAAATCCTATTTCTTCATCCCAATATATTCATGTTTGTACTCGTACTGTCCCATTAGACTTGCATTGTGCTGTGAAGATCAACACCTTTACTTTTAGGATTACCTCTATGTTTGCAGGAGATCGGCGTTTTTCTCCTTGGAAAGGATCAGTTGTAGATTCTGTAGTGGGAGTATTTCTTACACAGAATGTTTCGGACCATCTTTCCAGGTGAATAATGCCTAGAGCCTATTTGAAAACTGTGACTTGACTTGCATTGTGAGGTTATGTTGTTTTTCTGTCTGACTATTTCCTTTTTTTTCAGCTCTGCATTTATGGCTCTTGCTGCAAAATTTCCTGTAAAGCCAGAAGCCTCTGAAAAACCCGCAAATGTGATGTTTCATACAATTTCAGAAAATGGTGATTGTTCTGGGTTGTTTGGTAATTCTGTCAAGCTACAGGGTGAGATCCTTGTTCAGGAGGCCAGCAACACAGCAGCCTCTTTTATCACAACCGAGGATAAGGAAGGAAGTAACAGTGTGGAATTGCTTGGAAGTTCTTTTGGGGATGGAGTGGATGGTGCAGCAGGAGTTTATTCTAATATTTATGAGAATCTGCCAGCTAGACTGCATGCTACTAGGCGTCCAGTCGTTCAAACTGGAAACGCTGTCGAAGCGGAAGATGGGTCACTGGAGGGTGTTGTTTCATCAGAAAACTCCACTATTTCATCTCAAAATTCATCAGATTATCTATTTCACATGTCTGATCATATGTTTTCGAGCATGTTACTAAATTTCACTGCCGAAGACATTGGCAGCAGAAATATGCCCAAAGCAACAAGAACCACATATACAGAACTTCTACGAATGCAGGAGCTGAAGAACAAGTCTAATGAAACCATTGAATCATCAGAGTATCATGGGGTTCCAGTCTCATGTAGTAACAACATTCAAGTGCTCAATGGAATACAAAATATCGGCAGTAAACATCAGCCTTTACATTCCTCTATTTCATATCACCAGACTGGCCAAGTTCACCTCCCAGACATAGTACATGCGAGTGATTTGGAGCAATCAGTATACACTGGCCTTAATAGAGTGCTTGATTCTAATGTTACACAAACCAGTTATTATCCTTCACCTCATCCTGGAATTGCCTGTAACAATGAAACACAAAAGGCTGACTCTTTAAGCAACATGTTATATGGTATAGATAGATCAGATAAGACTACTTCCCTGTCTGAGCCTACACCAAGAATCGATAACTGTTTTCAACCATTAAGTTCAGAGAAAATGTCATTTGCTAGGGAACAGTCCTCTTCTGAAAATTATCTTTCAAGGAATGAAGCTGAAGCTGCATTTGTTAAACAGCATGGAACATCAAATGTGCAAGGTGATAATACTGTCAGGACAGAGCAAAATGGAGGTGAAAATTCTCAATCAGGATACAGCCAACAGGATGATAATGTTGGATTTCAAACAGCGACAACCAGTAATCTTTATTCTTCAAACTTATGCCAAAACCAGAAAGCAAATTCTGAAGTACTACACGGAGTTTCTTCCAACTTGATAGAGAATTCTAAAGATGACAAAAAGACTTCCCCCAAAGTTCCAGTCGATGGATCAAAAGCAAAGAGGCCAAGAGTTGGGGCTGGTAAAAAGAAAACATATGATTGGGATATGTTGAGAAAAGAAGTTCTTTACAGTCATGGTAATAAAGAAAGATCCCAGAATGCTAAGGACTCAATTGATTGGGAAACAATAAGACAAGCAGAGGTGAAGGAAATATCTGACACAATTAGAGAGCGAGGAATGAATAACATGCTGGCAGAACGGATAAAAGTAAGTATGGCATAAAACAGTTTACATTGAAAGTTGACATAACTCTAGTCATATGTGCATGCATGCTATTCCATATAGATTTGCTTATTTGTTGGAATTCCAAGTTTTGGATCAACCATACTCATCTTTAGCAATTCATGTTGCAGGACTTCCTAAACCGATTGGTGAGAGACCATGGGAGCATCGATCTTGAGTGGTTGCGCTATGTCGATTCAGATAAAGCGAAGTAAGCTAACTAAATTTATTTTGAGCAAACATTCATAATGCAATTGGCCCTTGGGCATTCTATAATTTGTCATTTTGACCTCTGCATTGCTTAGCAATGACAATTGGATGTAGTGAGCATGGGTAATAATGTAAGCAATGACAATTGGATGTAGTGGGCATGGTTAATAATTGAACATGTCTGTGTTTGCGGGATAATAATGCCTATCACCTGTGAGCCTGTGACATGCAAACCTTGAACGTTGAACCTTGAACCCCCTACCTCGCACTGTGTGCTCTCAACCAACTGAGCAAGTGAGGGACCTTGTTGTATGGAAAAAATAATTTTAAATAACCCTTGATTCAACCAAAGCTTCATAAAAGAATATATTTTCTATTATTCATTTGAACCAGCGGTTGAACCAGTGAACCGATGGTCTTGCTGGTCCGGATTTAATAATAACTATGGCTAGAACAGATTAGAGCACCGAATACTTGCGCGATGCTAAATATTTCAATGGGGACACACCTGCTCGTGTGTTGCATCAACTACCTAAGCCACACAGGCATGGCAATCAAATCAGCTTGCCCATGTAACATCAACTATCTGATCGCGAGAAGGCCGGAGCTCTCACTTGATGTTTGTCATTCAAAAAATAGTTATTCACCAATGCAATGTCAAGCTCCCGTAAAGACCATGAATGTAGTTTATCCTTCTTTGATCAAGTTTTTATTTATATTAAAGTGTTTACCAATGTAATCCTACATTATTTGTACCTGGTTTTTACATATAAATACATTGTACCTTTTGTGTTTCTTCCAGGGACTATCTCTTAAGCATTAGAGGACTTGGACTTAAAAGTGTTGAGTGTGTGCGTCTTTTGACACTCCATCACATGGCTTTTCCTGTATGTTTCCTTTCACAAATAATTTTCAAGAATCTTCGTTTCTTTATTTCTGGAGAAGTGGAGATTTTATCTGTATCTGTTGATGATGTAGGTGGATACAAATGTTGGTAGAATATGTGTGAGGCTTGGATGGGTGCCACTTCAGCCCCTACCCGAGTCTCTTCAGTTGCACCTGTTGGAGATGTAAGTATCTTAAATCCACTGGTTGGCTTCACTAATGCTGGAGAGTGATAGGAGTTTGATCATCTGCTATTGAAGGTATCCAATGCTGGAGAACATACAGAAATACCTCTGGCCGAGGTTATGCAAGCTTGATCAACGGACATTGTGAGTTTTAGAAATGCAGTTAAAAACTATATATATAAGAGCATGTCATTATCTGAGAGTGTATAACAGGTTCTTGATGATATGTAGGTATGAGCTTCACTATCAAATGATAACTTTTGGAAAGGTATGAGACAACAACTTTGATAAAGTGAATTCAACCCAATTACTGTGTTTTGATGGACCATCTGTGTTACTTTCCTTCTAGGTATTTTGTACAAAAAGTAAGCCCAATTGCAACGCATGCCCAATGAGAGCTGAGTGCAAGCACTTTGCAAGTGCATTTGCCAGGTAATTCTCAAGATGTACATATTTTATATACATTCTGTGAAATCACGGTGATGATTGTTAGGTATGAACAATTGGCTGAGATCCCCCCCCTCCCCCCTCCCATCCTTTTCCTGGTCCTACAAGTTCTCCTAGGCTAATTTAACTGGTGCATACCACATTTATGTTATTTTGATACATCAAAGATTATGTTTGTGGTTGTGAGGCTATATTAGTGTGTTGTATGTAACTCAGTTTTGCAATTGTAGTTTTAGTTAGAACACGTTGTTCTCTACATTTTAATAAATACTTTTTGACTGGACATCAATGACTGGTGTATTTCCGATATAAAAAGGTTGATTGTTGCCGAGGGATTTCAATTCGGTCCGAATAGGTTCGACAAATGCAGTGGGCCTATTAGTTTAAGAGTGAAAGTTCTATCAGCTGTTTGACTCCACTGTGACCTTTACACTTTGTACTTTTGAAGAAACAGACTAACCTGCTCATATTAAAGTCTTGGAATGACTCCATTGCGACCTTTACGCTTTGTATTTTAGAAGAAACAGACTAACCTGTTCATATTAGAGTCTTGGAACTGTGTGTGTGTGTGTTTTTTTTTTTTTTGGGGGGGGGGGGGCATGGAGATTTAATCCAACATTCCTGGATGACCTTATATTGGTAATGATATGGTTTTTTTATGATATAGTGCAAGGCTCGCTCTTCCTGGACCTGAAGAGAAGAGTTTAGTTACATCTGGAACCCCAATAGCTGCAGAAACCTTCCACCAGACATATATAAGTTCTAGGCCTGTAGTAAGTCAGCTTGAGTGGAATTCAAACACCTGTCACCATGGTATGAACAATCGCCAGCCAATCATTGAGGAGCCAGCAAGCCCAGAACCTGAACATGAGACAGAAGAGATGAAAGAGTGTGCAATAGAGGATAGTTTTGTCGATGATCCAGAAGAAATCCCTACTATCAAGCTTAATTTTGAGGAGTTTACACAGAACCTGAAGAGTTATATGCAAGCAAATAACATTGAGATTGAAGATGCTGATATGTCAAAGGCTTTGGTCGCTATAACTCCTGAAGTTGCTTCTATCCCAACTCCTAAGCTCAAGAATGTCAGTCGCCTAAGGACAGAGCACCAAGTGTATGATCTTGTCCCTCTTGCAAAACCAATCTCATGAATATTTACTATTGACTATCATGTGTTTTGCTGCATTGCTTACTTCTCTGTTTTCAACATATATGTAGCTATGAACTGCCAGATTCACATCCACTTCTTGAAGGAGTAAGTTCATAAAACATTATAGAATTCTGTACTTTCCTTATCACCAACTGAGAATATATTGATGCTTATTTTCTTACAATACACAGTTCAACCAAAGAGAACCAGATGATCCTTGCCCATACCTACTCTCTATATGGACCCCAGGTAAGAAGTGCATAAACAGAACACAATATCATGGGAACCAAACTTTTTTCAATGGTTACTTATAATTGTTGAAATATGCAACAGGTGAAACAGCTCAATCAACTGATGCACCTAAGTCGGTCTGCAATTCACAAGAGAATGGTGAACTATGTGCAAGCAATACATGCTTTAGTTGCAACAGTATAAGAGAAGCGCAGGCCCAAAAAGTTCGAGGGACACTGCTGGTAAGTAGTTGTTTCTGTAACATATGCTCAGTTGCCCTTGGTTCAAGATGTGCTATTCAAGTTTATCATGTTCACGAATAGTGATAAAGCTGCTATCTGTCCTAGCTATTGTCCAAGCTATAACAGTTCTGATTCACTGGTTGGGCACCAGCTAGGGAATAGGATGTAAAAAACTTATCCCGCAGTTTGTTGACAATCTGTTTTTCTTTGTTGAAAATTAAAAATAGATACCATGCCGAACAGCAATGAGAGGAAGCTTTCCACTTAATGGGACATATTTTCAAGTCAATGAGGTGAAAACAGAAAGTTCTTAAAGTTGATCTTAGTTTAATTATTATAATACCATTAAAATATATGCAAGTTTCTACTTTCTAGTATCTCTTTTATTAGTGTTCAAATGTTATGCGGCAGGTATTTGCTGATCATGACTCAAGCCGGAACCCGATTGATGTTCCAAGGAGTTGGATATGGAATCTCCCTAGGAGAACTGTTTACTTTGGAACTTCAATTCCGACAATATTTAAAGGTATTTCACTAATAAATTTTGACCAAGAATAGGATTTTTGGCAGCGCCAAATGTGCCACTATCTTTATTGTGTGAAGTCCATTATGTGATTGTAATAATTTGAATCACCAAGAGGACTAAGGCCTGCTTTGGGACATATTACGAGCAGCTTTTGCTTGCAAAGAAACCAGATTCTGGTGCCGCACCTTCTCCGCTCTTCTGCCACCCAAGTCCGTCCAATACCCCTCATTGAGCGCTTGGATCCTAACCCCATCTGCCATCATGCATCATCCTGCTAACAACTGCTTCCACCATTGCCTGTTTCTGTTGTTGGGAGGCACTCACGCTGCTTGCTATAGTTTAGGTTTTCTTTGTGTCCTGATTTAGATGGAATTTCCAGCTGCTGTCTTTTACATAACTAGCTAAATGTCCGCGCTTTGCTATGGATAATAGAAAATATATTATAATATTGTCAAATAAATTAAATATGTTTTATACGAAATGTGTTAACAATCCTTTTGCTATAGGGAATATTGACCTTAATTTGATTTTATATGTGGCTATCCATTTAGATTTGTTTGTTTTTCTAATAATAATAAGTTCAAGGGCTAATGTACAAAATTGACAATGGGAGTAGGTGGGGTGGCAGATTCACTGCCACCACCACTACCTTCTTTTAAAGGGGTATATAGATTTGCAGCAGTGGTTGCTTGATCTGTGATTTGAAATGTCAAGTACACGCTCATGCATCAGCACCATATGTCTACGCTCCTGACCCAACATGCAACCAATGCAATTGAGGGTTGGCTCTGATACAATTACTAATGTCCTATATCCAAAACAACTATAGGCCTATGACCAAACATAATTAATAACCTCGCTTGCGCTTTTGTCCTCACTTGCTCCATGTAAAAGGGTTAACCCGAGGTTACTATGTTAGGAATAGCTGGGTTTATGAAACGGTTCAACTCTCAACTCCTCATATAGCACTAATTCATGTATTGCTGTCAGCAGTGATTTGAGTTCCAGATCATGCTCATAAGATAGGACCAAATTGTCCTTACTATCTACTCCCTCCGTCCCAAAATATAAGGTATTTCCGGTCAAAATATCTTATATTTTGGGATGGAGGGAGTACTATACTACGGACCCACCACCAAATAGTGCCGCAGAAGAGAGAGAGAGAGAGAGAAGAGGGGGTGGGGGTGGGGGTGTATGGGTGAAATAAGAATAGTGCCAAGTATTTGCCAACAAATGAGGCGGTCAAATGTGTCACATCAATTGGGAAGTATGTCAGATCAACTGAAAATTTGATTGGGAAATTATTATTCATGCAACAAAGCTGTACAACTGATCCCATGTTTCTATCGCAGGTTTGACAACTGAAGAAATACAACATTGCTTTTGGAGAGGTAATCATTTTTTTTTGTATGTACGTTTTGGTTTCCATAACAAAGAGAGATGAAGTGTATAGGTACTATGTTTACTGACAAGGATAATAATAGTAGCAAGTATATAGGCAGAGGAGCATGTCTCTATTCTACCAGTATTATTACTCATAATAACTAGTATATCCTTTTTTTTGCCATTTCAGCTGATAGCTACTCTCCAGTCAAAATATTTGCCATCTCTATTGAACTTTTCATTGTCTTCTGAATGTATCTTACTCTTGGATCATTAATATTTCATTTTGTCACGATATAGTGGTATAGGACAATAAAATCATGGGAAGTATTTATTTTCATCACCAATCTACTCATATAATTTTCAAATGACAATTATAAATATCTTAAAAATATATTGTTAGTTGTCCTGTATAAAATAATTGTCACACCCTAGTCCACAGCGACAAGAATTTGTGTCTACAGGCTAGAGTGAGTACTCTAGAAGTATCTTCATAGGAATCGGAATAAAATGCCAATGTGAATGAACAAGGATATCAAGTATACCCTCAAAATCTCTAGAGAGGATTGCGTAAATATGTAGGTGTAATTAAACAATTGTTTCATATGGAGGGTTTTCTTAAAGGAGGTACAAGACTTATCAATATGGGTAAAGTAGTTTTTATCCATAGGCATTGTTGGCAGAAAGCTGCTTAGGGTAGAATGCTACTCCCTCCGTCCCACAATATAAGAGATTTTGAGTTTTTGCTTGCAACGTTTGACCACTCGGCTTATTCAAAAATTTTTGAAATTATTATTTATTTTATTTGTGACTTACTTTATTATTCACAGTACTTTAAGTACAACTTTTCGTTTTTTATATTTGCAAAAAAAATTGTATAAGACGAGTGGTCAAACGTTGTACGCAAAAACTCAAAATCCCTTATATTGTGGGACGGAGGGAGTACTTATGGATGCCTTTTTTGTCCAAGATGTCAGTAACATTTTCTTTCAGGGATGTGGATTTTTACTTCTTTTTTCCCTAACTTTTTCAGGATTTGTGTGCGTGAGAGGCTTTGATAGGACATCAAGAGCACCCAGACCACTGTATGCAAGACTCCACTTTCCAGCAAGCAAAATTACCAGGAATAAAAAATCTGCAGGTTCTGCTCCAGGAAGAGATGATGAATAGGCCATCTGGAAAACCAGAAAGGAAATAAAGAGGAGGTACATATGATCTGCCAGAAGATCACTGACCTGAAATGGATCGCTGACCAATAAGTTGCCGTAGGCAATTCAATTATTTCTGGCCATATACATCTGCTGAAAGTTATGAACTCCAGCCACTGACGAATTCGTGGTGCTGGTATTCTTCGGCAACATGATCCATCATACAGATTCTATGCTTGGTTGTTGCAAGCAATTCTTATGCGGTGACAGTTGCTGCTGATAGGGAGAAAAGGCATGTCCGGCGGCTCAGCGGCTCTAACTGTACTTTCATATGAGTGGAACCGATTGTTGTACATGTGAAAAGTTTGCCATTCAAAATGGTCATTCATGTTGTTAGGTCATTCATGTAGTCGATGTCAAATTAATCATCAATTATTTGATTTGATTCATTCACAAGTTTAATTGGCTCTAGATACTTGTGAGCTGCAGGCCAGCAATGTCATAATGTATGTCGGGAAAAGGTAGATATAAATCGTCAGCATTTACCTGAAATACCCTTCCTCTGTCCATAAATACAAGGGATTTTGGGTTGTTAAGCGTATTTTAAGTTCGATATGAAAATTACTTTGATGTTCCGAAGGGCTTATTTTGTCTTGGGTTGTTTAGCATGTCATAAGGTTGATATTAAATTACTTTCATGCCCTTAGGAGTTTTGGAAAGTTGACGCTTAACAGATGCGACTAGCAGTAAGCAATAAATGTCTAGATGGATTGAGAAAGTAGTATTTCTTCCGTCTCAAAATATTGCTATAAGCTCTGTTTGTTAGGGTTCTAACTTCTAAATTACTTTAGAAGTTAGGTATATAGTGAAGTTGTGGAACTATTTAAATATAGTTATATCTCTCTAGTTTATTTTTTATTTTATGAGAGCACTTCAATTCATTCCACTCTTTTTTTTTTTGGAATTGAAATCATTTGGTTGTGCTTCAGTTCTAGAAAATGTGGAGCTAGAGTTGAAGACGTGTTAAACGGGTCCTTAGTATTGGATGATAGTATTTCAGGAAATTCGAAGGGCATCTTGCTTTGGTACGGTTTTTCATCTCTTTTAAGTTTTGAACTAAATCATAACGTTTTGAAAAAAAAAACTACCTTTTCCAAACAGGAATTAACAGAAACCAGAGTTTTTTTTTTCTAGTCGTATTCTAGAGTTCTTCCCACTATACCAAAATATAACTATTTTTAGCACTTAGGATTTGTTCCAAAATATAACAACTTCTCCACCAACATTTCCTTCCCAACCAATCACAATCCTCTACCATTCACTTTTTCTACCTACCTCCACTTCTCAACCAATCACAACATCTTTCTATTCAATTCTACCTATTAACTTAATAACAATATCTAGCTCTAAAACTTTTTATATTCTGGGATGGATGTAGTAATTGTTTTCATAGCTGTTGTCACCCTCATCGAACGCCCTTAAAATTTAACATTATTAAAATTCTTGATACTCTTGCAAATTGAAGCTTCAACTATGTAAAAAGTGACATCAGGCAATCTTAATTCTTTCACCCATCTACAGCAAGACGTTGGTGTGTACTTCATCAATCTCAAGATCTATTGGTCCAATTCTCAAAGGTGTTTATAGATGAAGAGTATACGTGTGTGTTCGTAGGGTGAGTGCGCGCGCGTATATATAAATGTCTCGTCTGTACAATGTATACCATGCAGGGTTTTGAATCTACAACCCAAAATACTGGACGGCTTTTTTGAATGGAAAATACTTAGACACCTGGTGAACAGCAGACCACTGTAGCAGTCCCAGTAGACAAAATTCCAATGCTTTGCCAAGTTGCCAACCAAATGTTTAGTTCTTTCATTCATCACTAATGGCATGTGCCAAATTTGCTCAGCAAGCAAAATAATCTCTTATTCATGGTGTTGTCTGGAGGTTTTGGGGATGGAATTATTCATTGATTTTTTTTTAACGAACCGGTGCTTGGAGGATGCCAATTTTATTGTAGTAAGAGTAAAAGAAGTTGTACTAGTACGAGGAACTGTATAAAGAAAAAATAAAGCTAAGCAAGGGGATAATCTCCGAGAGTTGTTTTGCTCCTTATATGGCCTAGGTTTTGGCCTCCTTAATATCCGCCAGTAGAGTTATTGTTGAAAGTTCCTTACGTTGGAACACTTTCTGATTTCTCTCTTTCTAAATTTTTAATACCATTAGTAGGATGAGGGTGTGGAATCATTTTTTTTGGTAGCCGCTTATTGGTAGCTTGATATTGTATTAAACAGGCAATGAAACATACTCTCTGTCTCATTAAAAAAAACAACATAGGATTCTATATCCCATAAAAAACAATCTAGGATGGAATGCAATATTTTCTAGTACAATGATTCTGGATAGGAGCGTGTCTAGATTCCTGTACTAAAAAATGTCATATCTAATCCTAGATTGATTTTTTTTATGTAACGGAGAAAGTATATACCTAGATTCATTATTTTATGAAATAATATTATTTTAATAGAAAATCACAAAAATGGAGGCCACCCGGATACAATGGCCAAAGCAGGGCCATGTTGAAATTCGATAGGGCCCCGAACGGCGGATGTTCGACAAGTGAATGCATCTGGTATCGCGCATACCTTATCGAACTGCGGTTGTTTGACATGTCCTAGCCACCACCCCTATTGAACAATGGGCGTTCGATATGTCCATTTATATCCCACTCCCCACCCTTCGTCAAGGGTTATTTTCGGGGGAAAGGAGGTGAGGACCACATAGCTGGGCTGTCGTCACCACGGGGAGGGGAGGCGATGTCCGTGACGGTGCAGGGGAGACGATGGTGGAGGTATAAATTTCTAATCCCTAAGTGTGACGCTAGTGATTTGTTAATCATTGTTGAATATTAGTATGGATATTAAATTAGTAGCATGTTGAAGTTGGTACTAGATTTGTACATATTGTTTTGAGGTGAGTTAGTAGAAATCGACGTGAAGTTATTTTTAAGTAGTGACAAATTAAGTTATTTTACGTCAGAGTAAAATTTAATCATTGGTGAAGTTATTGGATAGTACCGTAGTAAGACAATTTGTTATGTTTTATCAGGATGTCAGGTGATGTGGCCGTTCATGTGTACTATGGCAATGCTCCTATACAAATCTGTTATAATGGGGTGGATTTGACTGTATATACCTTTTTTTTATTTTAGCCTAAATGCACCGGAGCAGTTGGTTATAAACGACGTGTTAGGGTGATTGTATAATATGTTGGGGGTAGATCCAGTGTTGAAAAATTTTATCATAAAAGTTGTGTGATCAGTAAGGGGTGAATGCGGATGGCAGTAGAGAGCATCTACCGGGAGTTGGAGAAAGTTTATGACAAGAGTAAGGGAGAAAAAGGTATAGTCTGGCAATACTGGTGAAAAGGAAAACATATATTTTTGAAACCGGCGAGACAAGTCATGAGGAGTTGGAACAAACTCCAATGGAGGCTGTGCAACAGTGCAAGAGGGTGATTATATAATATGTTAGGGTGATTATATATATCTGGGTGGTCACCATTTATATGATTATCCATTAAAATAATAATATTTTTTAAAAAATAGATAAATGATACGGGGAATGCATAATACTATTTGCCAATCAAGAATCCCAAGAGTCTTCTTCCTCCAGCCCAGCCTTGCCCTTCCCACTCTTGTTGTCGTTTCACACGTCCTGGAAGCAACGGCATGGCTCTGCTTTTCTTGCGATCTGGTTGGAAGTTCAGGCTCCTATGATCTTGCCATTTCATAGGCGATCTTGGGAGAAGGACTGGTACAGGAGTACTCCCTTCATAAAAGAATAATTTTTAACTACGAATCTAGACGTAGACTCAGATTTATAGTTAGGAATTGGTTTTTCTCGAGGACGAGGACACAGAATCTGAATCCCAACATGGCAACATGTGAAATTAATAGAGTCTGAGATAGAGGGACTGCATTGAGAAGCTGTTTGATGGACAGAAAGAGCCTTGCCTCGCCGGAACACCAAGAACCTGTTGTTGTTGATGAGAATTTGGAATCTGTTGCATCAATCTTTTCGAATGTTTAGCAAAATATTGTACTTTCTGTTATGATTGTCACTTTCACATCATAATCAGGAATACTAATGTGTGATTGAAAAGACATGAGTGTAACGCACTGTAGAAAAGTGCATCTTTCTGTGTCTTGAGAGAGGGTGATAAGTGCAGACGAGTCACCTTATCTTTACTCCTCAAGAACAAAATGGACCTTATTAAAAAGGAAATGGAGTATATTTCACAAATAAATAGATCTTGTCCCACCTTTTTAACGTAAATTTTGCCATGACGTGATAATTCTGTGGCAATTTTTTGGTTTATATTATGATTCTCTTTTAAGTTTTTTTTATCCTTGTTGGATGGCTCATTTTAAGTTTTTTTAAGACTATCTTTGAATAAATAGAGTCCTGGGATATTGGCAAAAACTTTGCTATCCATGTATTTTAGTCAGCAGTTAGTCCACAGCGGGTTCCCCACAATGTGTGTTCACCATGAATGCCAAAAGGATAGATTCTGCAAGATCATTGCAAAAGCCAATTTTAGTTTTACTACTTCAGCTTTGCATTCTCATTATTTCCAGTTTTAGAGCTTGTACTGTTCCCTTTGCATGTTCCGAGATTATGTGTACCATGAAAAAGAAATTGACACGGACAAATGACAATTACTTCTGATAGAGCTGAATGCCAAATTGCCAATTCTCAGGTACCTTTCCCCTTAAATTTTCCAAGGATTATTCACTCTAAGCCTTTTGAGGTGAATATAAAAATTCCAAGATTCTCAAAACAAAGTCCACTAGAAAAGAAGGTAAAATATTATAATCCTTTTAAATTTTCCAGAGAGGACAAAACTCATACTTACCAAGACGGTGATGCTCAATATAAAATTTCAGAAACACAAGGCTATCTGAACGCCAGGTGTTCAAGATTATCCTTGATTCCTCATTGGCCCCCTCGAGGAATTAGCTAATGCTGGCTGCTATCAGCTTATGAGTTTCTTAACCAATCATCGCCGGTTACTTCTGATAGATGAACATCAACGTCTGTAGAAGATCACAAGCAACACAACTAGAGGCAGTCTCACGTCACTAGAGCCTCAGATAATGAACTGTTTGACAGATGGTGATTGAATTTCCCCTTTCTTAGTCAGATGCAACAATGTGAATCCAAAGCTAATTTTCCCAGTATATAATCATGGAGATGTTTTTCTTGTTGACATTTTTAATAATTCATTCATGGTAGGCATGGTTCTTTTTTTTTTTTGCGGGGATGGTAGGCATGGTTCTTGCAGATGAGCTAAATGGTTTGGTCAAACATGTTGCATTATTTCTAGAATCAGACTTGTTGAAGGTTACAAGTCAAACAAAAACAATTGAGTTGAGTCATCTGATAGCTTGATTGATAAGGTCAAGGACAAATGCTGGCCACTGTGTACTTACTGGCCTAGTGATTAGGTCATATAAACAAAAACAAACATTATTTCATGACATATTATAAGCTTTCAAGACTTGAAAAGGCAGAATCTTGTGTGGAAAACTTCATTGGTGATACCATAGCTCACTTAGGGCCAACAGAGATGGTTGAAATGGCAACATCAAGACGCTTAGAGCCGGTTTGGTCGGCAAGATCACAAAACTCAGAAGCAAACAATTTCATGTAGGGACGGCATACAAGTACACAATTAGTTGAACAAACCAATTTATCTATCACTCCCTTTTCTCAATTTTCTTCCAAGGTCTCCAAAATAATGGTACTCCATCCGGCCCTCTGTATGTAAATATATGATACTGTTGACAAACTTTTAAAACTTTGACCATCAATAGCTCTCAAAATACTTATTTTGAAAACACAAAAATCATCTTCATAAGAACTTTTACGATATTATAATTCTGTTAGGCGGTATTGTTGCTTTCTAATAGAAAATTAGTTTCTTCTATGCAAGTACTTTATCACTATGCCAAAATTATGAGCGTTATGTTTCTTCTGTGTAAGAACATCACATTTGACCACATACAAATTCAGGTGATCATCAACCTTGAAGAAAAATCAGGTCACCATAGATTATTTGTATGATATGCTTCAAGGCTCTCCACGCTAAAATATACTTGTTGGATAAGGATGATGAGAAGCTTGATGGCAGAATTCATGATTAACAATAACAAGAAGAAATGAAGAATATTAAAGTTATCAATACAGCAGTTGCCCTAAAAACCGAATAATCTTATGGGACTGTCTATATATCTGTTGACAGAAAATCCCACCTCCCATCTTTCAAATTTTGGACCATCGGATATGCTTTAAGATTCGTGCGGAGACATTAACCCTAGCTCTCCTCCTTCCGTTCCCCTCGCATCGCTCGTTCCGCCGCCACCATCGTGTTTTCCTCCACTCCGCCCGATCCCCCGCCGCCACCTCCCCACCGTGTCGCCACCCGCTTCGTTGGCTGGCCGGAGGGCGTCAATGGCGCCGGCGACCCCCCCCCCCCAGCCTCCTCCCCGAGCTGTCGGCGACGAGATGCCCTCGCCACCAACGCCGGCCCACCGCCCTCCTCCAGCCCCGTGGCTCCAGCGCCGCTGCCAGCGCCTCGCCACCCCCCCCCCCCCCCGATTTGCCACCCACCGCCGGGCTGCCGCCTCCCCCGGCCATCCCTCTAGAGCCAGCGAACTCCTCCCCCTCCACCTCGACCCCACCCTAGGACCCTAACCTAGGGTGTCACCGGTGTCGGAGAAGAAGAGGAGGTCGTCGGAGTTAGAGAAGAAGGTCTGGAGCATAAATCTCGAAGCTCATATGGTGTCCCAAAATCTGCAAGATTTAGGGATGCAGGTTCTGTTAAAAGAAGGTTAGCAATTCCGTAATGGTTATTCCTTGTCGTGTAGTATAATCCCTGTAACGAGCAACAAAACAGTGAATTATGACACTGATCATTGATTAGAGAACCTATATCCTGTTCAACCATATTAGCTCAACACTTCTCACAGTACAATAATCAAAATCAGATAAAACATAAAGTTTTTCGCCTGCGGAAAAAATAATAAACCCTGCACAACTACGTGAGCGCTTGGAGAAAAATTCTCGCGGCGCCGTCAGGAAAGGGAAAAGATATCCAAACAAAGAGCAAGAATCCAAGAAAGCAAACAAGAAATTAAACAAGCCCAACAAGCAACATAGAAAATGTGCAACATGTCCTTATCCCTCTATGTCAAAGTCAGAAGAACAAAAACCTCAAGCCAAAGCCTGCACACATAACATAAGCTCCGGCATCATCTCCATCATCTCATAGTCCTCTTCCTCCTCAGTTCATCCTTGCCTGTTGCCTACTCCCTCCTCAATCCTGCAGAAGTTTCTGAAGAGATCAATTACCAAGAAACTGAGAGGAAACACACAGATTATCTGCACACAGATCATCACCATACTTGCATCTGTCGTTGAGAGAAGATGATCCCGTTCACAAAGCAGAGAAGCACCAAGATGAAACGTGCCCTGCACTAAGCTATGCTGTTCGGCAGGAGCTCGGTGAGGCCAGTGATGGAAGCACGCCGCCGCACGCCAAGATTCTGCAAGGCGGACTCGGAGTCGGAGCAGAGGAAGCTACGGCGTGTCAGGCTCCCCTTCTGGTCGTGCCCGCCGAATCGGCCGCCGGGCACCTGACCTGACCTGACCTCTCTTCCTCTTCCTCTGCATCTTCCACTTCCTCTTCCTCTTTTCTCGGTGTCTGAATCTCTCCTGAGTTGTTGAACAGCCTGAGGAAGACACGGGCTACGATCCTTGTGCCATCCTGATTTGTCCCTCCCTGTCGCCTCACTGTTTCACGCGTCCTGGAAGCAAGCAGGCAAACGACATGGCGGCTCTGCTTTTCTTGTGATCTGGGTTGGAAGCTTCTGCTCCTTCGATCTTCGCCATTTCTGAGGCGTTCTTGGGAGCAGGGCCCTTGGTCTTGCTGCTGTCTGCCACCACTCTGCCCTGCTTGCCCCTGTGTGTTCTTCTTGCTGGCTTTCTCGTCCTTGTCTGAATCTTGCAGGTTCTTGTCTGTGACATCCTGGAGACGCGTTTCAGGTGTTCTTGATCTTGGAGCTTATGCCTGCGAGTTCTTGGGTGCAGGAGGAGTTGTTAGTTGTTACCTTTGTCTCCTTCGTTGATCCATTGAAAGAGGCAGTGGCTGTTTGCTCTTTGATCTGCATGTCCTTTGGCCTTCACCGACGACGAGATGGGCTCTGCTCCGTTCGGTGACGCCGTCGCCGGCGGTGGGCTCTATGAGTACCAGGGGTATCACGGTGGCTTCGCCGGCGGCCATGGTCTCGGCCAACCGGCCGGCCGAGCGCCCGCGTTGGACGACGGTGAAACTGAGGGGATGGACGCATCCGCCGCCGCCGCAGTCGCCGCCATGGAGATGGCAAAGAGGAATTGTGGAGGCGGCCGGGAGGAGAAGGCGGCGATGGCGCTCAAGAGCCACAGCGAGGCGGAGCGGCGGCGGCGGGAGAGGATCAACGCCCACCTCGCCACGCTCCGCACCATGGTGCCCTGCACCGACAAGGTGAGCACCTCCCCCACCTCGTTGCCGGCGAGGTCTCGCGGCGGCGGCGGCGGCGGCGGCGGCGGCGCAGTCAATTGCACCAAGCGACGGCGAACTCTCACGCGGCCCACGACACGTTGGGCCGAGATGGGCCTTTTTTATTTGGGCCAGAAACTGATTCTCTCCTGGGCTTTTTCAGATGGACAAGGCCGCGCTGCTGGCTGAGGTGGTGGGCCACGTCAAGAAGCTGAAGAGCGCCGCGGCGCGCGTCGGCCGGCGCGCCACCGTCCCGTCCGGCGCCGACGAGGTCGCCGTCGACGAAGCGTCCGCCACCGGAGGCGGAGGAGAAGGCCCCCTCCTCCTCAGGGCGACGCTGAGCTGCGACGACCGCGCCGACCTCTTCGTGGACGTCAAGCGCGCGCTGCAGCCGCTCGGGCTGGAGGTGGTCGGCTCCGAGGTCACCACGCTGGGCGGCCGCGTCCGCCTCGCCTTCCTGGTCTCGTGCGGGTCTCGCGGCGGCGCCGCCGCCGCCGCCATGGCCTCGGTGCGCCACGCGCTCCAGTCCGTGCTCGACAAGGCCAGCTCCGGCTTCGACTTCGCGCCCAGGGCGGCGTCGCTGCTGGGCAGCAAACGCCGGAAGGTCTCCACGTTCGAGTCATCGAGCTCCTCGTCTTGACAAGTTTCAGAGAAAATTACGCCAAAGTCAAAAAGATCTGATCGGTTGCAGTGATTTTTGCTTCTGATAAATTAATCGATCATGGTTGTAAAAGAAAGATACAAAGCTGAAGTGAGTTTCTTCTTTAATTTCTTTCTTTCTTTCTTTTTGGCAAGATTAATTACTGAAGTGGCTTCTCAACATTGGTTAGCACTTAGCATTTTGCTGCTGCTTATCTTTTCGAAGAGCGTTGTGCTCCATGCATGATTAATTACCTTGCATTTGACATATATATATTTGACATTTTCACATTTCACTGCAACTTCAGTTTAACTAGTAACTAGGAGCTTTGCTCCTTCATGCATGATGCATGACATCATCACAATGTGTCAATGTCTATTTTTATCCAGCTTTAATGGGCATATCTGTGAACCTGATATGAGAGTGAATGAGTTGTTTGCCTAGTATACTTCGTTTCAGTAGGAGATGTAAATTCTCAGTCCGTGCTGATTCAGACTAGTGAATTAAAATTAGTAGTACTAGTTAGTACTGTCTCCGTGCATTCAAAAAAAAAAAAAGGAAGCTAATGCAGTACTGCTCCTGAACTCAGAATTCAAGGAGTGCAGAAGTTGAATTAAATCTGAATCTTTCAAACCACTGATCACATCTATCGCAGCTATAGCCTCGCATTGCATCTGAATTAATTCTTCGCGTCATGGCGCAACAGTAAATCCCAATATTAGCGCCACTATTCAATTGGATGTTCAGGGAATAATCAATGATGCGTACTGTGCCCCCGTCATAAGTTGAGGACAGCAAGCGATAGTCGATAGACGACCTATCATCACTGATGAGCTCTTAATTTCTTCACGAACCCAGCTCTCCATTGGAGCAACAATGATGCTCTGCATTACCACAGGTAGGTAGGTGCATAGATGAAGGAGATAGTATTCAGACTTTCAGGGTGTGAGAGAGATAAGAGATTCAGTTCATTCCCATGTGTCGCAACAGTCAGATCGACAGCAACAGAAGCTGGAACAAACGTGAATGAACTTGATTATTCTAGCAATCGGACGCTGTTAAGCTCTCGTGCGAGCACTATTAAACTCAGGGAAGGAACTGTTCACATCTACTACAACTGTTCACGTCTGAGAATGAGACCAATCGGAGTCAGATTCTCTCGTCTACTCAAACTGGTATATGTATATCCATCCAATGATCTCACATCAAGTTCTGTTCAGCTATCTAACATCTCTCTCTGACCATACCTTTTTATTACAAGTTGCATTGTCACCTCAACCTCAGTGGAAAGAAAACATTTATATGAACAAAATGCAGGTAGGTCCGTTGGATTGAGCAATGTAGTTACCCAAGATATACATATAAATACATTGCTAGACACTAGCTAATATATATATATATATATATATATATATATATATATATATATATATATATATATATATATATATATATTCAATTATGCAAATTATATGTGATTATATATGTTTTGGCAATAAAATAGCATATCCTACCGAATAAGAAAAAAAAACGGTGTGGAAGAGAATGACTTAAGAGACTAGGTTGTGTTCAGATCCAAAAGGAGTAGTGCAGGGGTTGTTGATCCCAAAGAATGAATAATTAAAAAACGATCTGAACAAGTTCTTCCTGCTGGCTAGTGATTATTAAGGACGACCTAGCTAACAAAGCCCTGCTGGCATCGGTTTCTTCAGTGGTGAGAGAGCCACATGTGCCATCACTTCATTGAGATCTCGAGTGATTAGATTCTCTTACTACATACACAGATATATCCTATGTTTGTAACCGTAATTTATAGGCAAAACTATATAACCATGCCATTATTGGTTTAATCTTTGATTCATGGATGGTAGTTTAATTTCCAGAAGTGAAAACTATTATGTATACACCTGGTTTTGATCCAAAATTGGTCCATTATGTATCTTAAAAACGTTGTACTTCCTCTAATTTTAAATATAAGTTGTTTTAGAATTATGCAAAAAAAAACAAGAAAAACAACTTATATGGTCTTTTGCAAGTAAAACTTATGTAGATTATTGATTTTGTTGATCTTTTATTGATACTACATTGGAGAAGATGAATTATCTACGTGTTAAATAGGTAGCATTTATTTAGCAAGTATAAACACTGAAGGAAGAAAATAAAATACTAAGTGTTTAGGAGTTCCAAAAATGACTTGCATTTATAGGTAAAACAAATATAGTAGGTGTTAAAACGACTTACATTTTGATCAAACTGGATGGAAGTAATTCCTTGTCATCTTGATTAAAAGGACACATAGAATTTTCTTGTGCGTTTTGAAATTACAAGAGCATAATTTTCACTCATGGTACTTGTACAGTGGTTACCGATAATATCTCTAGTACAAGAGATCTAAATCCATTGAGTTATGTATTGTACTGCCAAAGGAAATATTCTTATGTAGTATTAGTAATTACTCCCTCCTTTCAAAATATAGTAATTTTTAGCTATAATCAACTAACATACCTTTGTTCACATATATATATAGTCAGAAGTTATTTATATTTTGAAATGGATGAAGTAGAAATTTGTAGTATTGTCTACTTCATTATATGTATGACATAAAATAATTTTCAGTAAGTCTATTGTTACCTCAAATCCTCAATGCATCTTGCCATGTCGGCGCCATCGCCTTTTTTTTTTCAGAAAAGCGGAAAAGACCAGCAAACTAGAACTCAACACGTGTACACCCAATCATCATTCCCCACCCCCCAACAAGAACAAGCTCAGGTCGATCAACCGTGCGAACCCCCTGCCAGAGGCCATCACATTCACACACAATCACACCACACCTGACACCCCTCGATACAATTATATGCTGCAGCGAAGCTTTAAATTCACAAGGCTCAGCAAAAGACTTTTTGTTGAGCAGAAACGAGAGGAGGACACATGTAGAGTTAAGGGCCAGGTGCATATGCCAGCGTGGTCTGGACACATGGTCCACTGCCCTCCAGCTAATCAACCCCCCCGGATGCCAGCTAATCGTCGCGACCGCGCAGGTGTTGTATATGTGTTTAAGCCGTGCACGCCGCCCGCCTCGCCGTTCCAGCCAGCTACGCGCGCGCGCGCCTCGTCGTCGCCGCCGCCGCGACTCGCGCGCGGGGCTCGCGTGCGTGCGTTGGTTTATTGGTTCGTTGGTTGGTTGACGCGGAGTGCCACGTACGTAGTACGTGTGGCACGGCAACGGCCGCGCGCGGGGTGAATCTTGTGCAGATCATATCGCCACGATATATCGCCGGTGAGTACACGATAGTAGCACACGCAGTGACGTACTAGTAGTACAATGGTAATTGATGCAGTTTTCCATTTACCACTCCGAAAAACAACCTGATAGTGTACTATATGATTCCAGAAATTTTCTCTAGTACTACCGGTCTCTCTCTTTTTTTTTAAAAAAAAAAAGAAACTGCGGGTGTATTTATATTAAGAGGTTTGAGAAAAATTGTACACGAGCTTACAAGAGCTACTATTGTCCCGTGGCATTAGGGTTTTAAGGCCTTTTGCTCCTCTAGGCCGTCTGAACCAGAGCTCATTCGTGATCCGAGTGGTGATCCTTACTAGCGATATTTTTTATTCCTAAAAACCCTGTTGTTTTGTTCCTTCTATATCTCCCATGAGATTAGGATGAAAAGCGACTCGAGACCTCCTCGCGCCTCCTTCGATGCGGGGACAATGCTTTGGGTCCACCATTTTTGCTCGGGATGATGTGGATGCTTAGTTTTGTGGCTTCAGTCGTGTACATTGAAGTCTTGTGACTGGACATTTATTGAAAAAGAGGTGTGTTGTTTCGAAGTTTCACCAATGGAGTTGACAAAAATAGTTGTTTGGTTATTCGTGTTACCGGAGCCTATCTACCGTCTACTCCCTCCGTCCCATAAAAAGGCAAACCCTGGGTTTCCGTGTCCAACTTTGACTGTCCGTCTTATATAAATTTTTTTTTATAATTCGTATTTTCATTGTTGTTAGATGATAAAATATTATTAATATTTTATACGTGACTTGTCTTTTTAATTTTTTTCATAATTTTTTCAAATAAGACGGACAGTCAAACGGTGGACACAGAAACCAGGGTTTGTCTTTTTTTTTTACGGAGGGAGTAGATACAATTTTGAAGTAAAGAACTTGCATTTAATTGATGCCCAACATTACACTACACGCCTTATTGTCTAGTCAATGGATGACATGCTGTAAAAAAAAGACTAATAATAATTTATATTTTTATATTTATGTTCTCAGTGAGTTAAAAATCAATGTAAAAAAATATCGTGAAAAACATCAAAATCAACTTAAAAATTAATATTAAGTTTTCAAAAACAAATTTCTAGTTGTGACTGATAATTCAATAAGCAAATAATATAGATGTATATTCTTTTTCAAAAAAATATATAAGCGATCGTCATGGTTATGTATCCGAACAAACAATAGGTTTGTAGTAAAGCAAGTACTACGAACACATTTTGAGATGAAGAAGAGAGGAAAAAAGAGAGAGGAGCTGCCCCCCGTGAAGAGTAACCTCCACAAAAACTTCAAGAAAAATAAAAAGGAGGAAATGAAAAGTGGTTTGGACAAAAAAAAAGGGTTAGTGTGCTAGAGTTAGTGTAGAGATGAAATTAGAGGTGGCAATTACTTTTTTTTTTTATAAAACTTGCTCTAAAAATGAGTACAATAAGATGATACAGGTGAGTCAAACGAGTTGGCACATCACATTAGTATTTATGTGGAGACGAGATAATGAAAATGGGTTACATATCTGTAGACAGCTGAAATACAAGCTCCAATAAACTACTAAATAGATTAGATATTAATAATACATTACATATGTATAATTAACTTATTGTATGATGAGTACTCTAAAGGATTGGGACGGTGTAGTACTTTTAATCTCTGAGCCCGATCTGACTCGACGCTTAATAACACGATTAAACAAAGCTAATTACCCGTGCTCATGATTTGAGCACACACCGGCTCATCACCGCTCACGCCTCGATAGTGGGGCAGTGGTGGGACTGACAAAAGCGGGCCGGTTTTCTGTCCATGACGCAACCGTGACGCCAGCAAATATTCCCTCCTCCTGGCCCCCAGCGGCCGGACCAGCAGCACGCGATGCAGAGGTTTCCAGAAAGAGAATACTATTTGTATTCGTACTACCACCCCCCGTCTTACTGAATGAATACTCTTCCCTGCAAAAGCAAACCCCCCAACTTTAGTTAATTACTTCCCTCTCACTGACATTGTCAAACAACTAATCACCCAATCAGTTTTTCTTTTCAATTAGATAGTACATGAGCTAACCAAAGCTAATCTGAATTCTGATCTGGCTGGTTAGTTTACTGAAACTGAAAGTCTGAAACTACAATTTGCAGAGGAAGAACTCTTTTGCTGAAAAGTCATGAGTTCATGCATGCTGTTACATTGCCAAAGGGAGGAGGAAGTGTCTGTGGATCGAGGCAGATGATTTGTTTGGGAATTGTTTGAGGCTTTTGAGGATGGATCGAAGGACCGTGCATGACATGTAGGATGCTGCATCCGCTGATAAAAAATCTGAATTCTTGCTGAAGGGACCTGCAGCTAGCGAGGATTAATGTTTAGTTAATCAGGGGCAGTCACATGGTTAACGTCACCGCTGTGATCAGCTAGAGCTATCTGCAGCCAGTTAATTAGGGCCGCTTATGAGGTTAGCTAGCTGATGGTCGAACTCGCAGGCCATCGTTTTGCTGTTTTGGACAATAGCTTTTCTTGCTTTATGCCTATATCATGTCAGATTAACAATTGCTCGGTCTCTGATGGATAGTTAAAGGACATGCACTTGATCACCATGTGAAACTCCTAGCTAGGCATCATGAGAGGCTAAATTAGTTATAGTTGCATGCTTGCTCTGAAGGCGATGCATGATCCGGCAACGACTTGGCCAGATCAGACAACAGACATGGACAGGATTAATGAAGAATGCTGAATAAAACTCAGTGTTGTAAGTGAGCAGACAGTCCGGAAAAGCAATCTTTTGCTGCATGGCAGAAATTGTTATATCAGGCTAGTGGTATACAGACGACAATTTCTTTGCGTGTTTTGTCCCACCGAAAACGCATAGCAGTATGCAAGGGAAATGGACGCATTGTAAAGGTAGCAGAACAGGGGCAATGCGAAAACTAACAATTGGGTTAAGCAGACAAAACTGCTGTTGCCGAACGGTTTGGCTTTGGAAACGGTAGTTAATGCAAATCCATTTCCCACTTAATTCTCTCTTCCTATCAAAGTTGTTCCATCTTGGCTAGCTTGCCTAGTCAGACAGACGAAGGTAGTCGGGAAGTAGATATCCTGATGTATCAGTTACTACCTTATGTTAGTGAATCAACTGCACAATCACATGATCTCATTTTAATTAGTTCAATACCGCGCCTTAATTGCCCTTCCAATCTCACAACGGACACAATTACTACAATATGAGTCATTGACAGGTGAGACCCACCGTCATGAATCCACGTGTTAGTGACGCACATCCCTCTAAAGTACGTGAGACGAGTCTCGTCTAACCCTCTCACAACGTCACGTTTTGGTGGAGAAAAACGTAGGGACTCCCAAACGGAGGAAGACCGATACAGGCGGTCGTAGCCGCGACGTGCACGGCACAGGACAACCCCCCCCCCCCCCCCCCCCCCCCCCCCCGCCCCCGCCCGAGTCACCCAGCCCAGCCAGCGCGCGCGACACGACGAAACACGCGCCGCATAGTGCGCGCTCTCGCGCGGCGGGAGCGCGATGCGGCATACGCCTATATGCCTCACCTGCGAGAAGAGAGCCGAGGAGCAGAGACGACGCCGCCCCGCTGCCGACCGTGCGTGCGTACGTGATACTAGTGCGGTGGCGATCGAGCCACGCGGCCGCGTTTTGGCGGAAAAACGGGAGGTGAATTTGGCGAAAAAACGAGCGGGGTTTCCCCGGTTTTTCCCACTCGGACTCGCACACCACCACCACCCGTGCTCCGCTCGGCTGCAGCTGCCGCCGCTGTTACGGATTACGGGGGTGCGTGACTGCGTGCGCGTGTGTTACCGCCCGCGCCGCGGTGGCTTGGCTGCTCCGCCAAATCTACCCCCTCCCCCACTCCACTCCCACTCCTCCTCTTGCTGCCGCTGCCGCCGCCGCTGCTGCTGCTTCTTCTCATTCCCCCTCGCCGCTTTGCTTCCCTCGGCTTCGCGCTCACGAGATCCCCACCCCCCACCCCCCACAACGCGGCGGCGCATCGGCCCATGCGGTAGCGAGCGCGAGATCCAGCGCCCAGCAGTAGCAGAAGAAGACGGACTAGGTGCTCGGCGGAATGTCGCACCGCGCGCTGCCGCCAATGCCGGACACGCTGTCGGACGCGTTCGCCGCCGCGGTGCTGATGTCGTCGACGGACAAGCCGGACACGCTGCCGCCGGGGAGGCTGTCCCCGGTCTCGCCGCTCACGCACTCCTCATCCTCCAAGCTCCCCACCCCGAGCTCCTCCTCGGGCTCCTCGGGCTCCCTCTCGGTCTCCAGGGCCCCCGCCTCCGCGCTCGCCTCGCGGAGGAGCCATTCCGGCGAGATCCCGCTCCCCTCCGATGGCCCGCCCCGTGGGTCGCGCCCTGGCCACCGACGGACCGGCTCGGGCCCCCTCATCTTCACCTCCTGCTCCAGCTCCGCCACCTCGCCGCTCACCAACGCGCTCCCGGCGGGGAACATCTGCCCCTCCGGCCGCCTCGCCAAGCCGCTGTCCTCCTGCTCCGCCGCGGCCACCCCGCCGGCCCCAACCCCGCCCCGCGCCGCCCGCCACGACGTGCTCGGCTCGGGCACCGCCAACTACGGCCACGGGAGCATCGTGCGGTCGCGCAGCGGCGGCGTCGTGGTCGCCGAGGAGGACGCGGTGGTCAGGCGGGCCATGTCCAGCGCCGACCCGGAGGAGCTCAAGAAGGCCGGGAACGAGCAGTACAAGAAGGGCTACTTTGAGGAGGCGCTCAGGCTCTACGACCGCGCGCTCGCCCTGTGCCCCGACAATGCCGCATGCCGCGGCAACCGCGCCGCCGCGCTCATCGGGCTCCGCCGCATCGGCGAGGCCGTCAAGGAGTGCGAGGAGGCGGTCCGGATTGATCCCTCGTACGGCCGCGCGCACCAGCGCCTCGCCTCCCTGCATATAAGGTGAGAATTCCATCGCCCTGAGCGGCCTTGGATCTGTGGACGCAGCGCAATTCTCCTGTCCATTTCTTTTTCTCGCATTGTATCGCGAAAACTGCTTCTTTTACAGCACGCGTAACGATTTTTTTTCCCTATCTGACGATCTAAGAAACACGTTTTGATCCAACAATGTAGCTAGAAATAGGAACATAAAATTTTGCTATTTTTAGCGGAGCTTACAGAACAGTCGTGGTCATGGTGTGTTGGGTCACCATTGCACATTTATGGAAGATGATTTCTACAATAAGCACAGTATTTTTATACCTTTCGTCAGAATTCTACAGAGTCATGGAACATGGTTGATCTGAACATGGAATTCTGATTTATATGTTTCTGCATTTCCCTACTTACTATGGAAATAGATAGTTTTCAGAGAATCAGGAAATGCAACCAATACTCTAAACGGAAACATGAGAAGCAGCCAATGTGCTTATGATTGTTCGTTTCTTCCATTGTTAAGTAAGCTGTTCCGCATTAGTTCTTACCAGCAATCCAGCATATCAATCAGTTTCCTTATTGTATTATGTGATTGTCAAATTCTACCTTTTGTGCAAGTTATCCATTTGTTATTACTAAACTGCAGGCTAGGACACATCGAGGATGCTCAGAGGCACCTCTCACTGGCGACCCCTCAGCCTGACCTCCTAGAGTTGCACAAATTACAAACAGTGGAGAAGCACCTTGGGAGATGTATGGATGCACGGAAAGTTGGGGACTGGAAGAGTGTGTTGAGGGAAAGTGACGCTTCTATTGCGGCAGGAGCTGACTGCTCTGCTATGGTTGGATCCCATCTTTCTTGTACTATGGTGTTGAGTAGCCCTTTCTTGATTAAAGGGCATACACTTATGTAATTCACCATTTGCAGCTCTTCGCCTCTAGAGCAGAAGCTCTTCTACGGCTCAATCAGCTTGACGAGGCTGATCTGGCGATCTCGAGTGCTTCCAAGTTGGACTACTCATCTTCATGCACCTCAGACAACAAATTCTGTGGGTTCCTTGCCAATGCATACCTCTTTTATGTGCATGCCCAAGTTGACATGGCATTGGGAAGGTAATCCGTCGACTTTCTCATTAGATGCACAAATAAGTCCAACTTATCAAAAGATTTTTAGTTTTCCATTTGACTGAAAGGGGAAAAACAACCGTCTTGCCATTCCTAGAAGATATTGAGTCTTGTTGGCATGGCTGGGGAAAGAAACACAACAACTTTATTCAAAGTATTTTGACTTAGCAGTTAAGTTGCAAGCCCTCCTGTGTAGACTTGGTAGTCTATGACTTGACATTACTGAAAATTGTGCAGGTTTGACCATGCTGTCTCTTCTGTAGACAAGGCCAGGATAATAGATCAAGGAAATGTTGAAGTTGTAACAATGCATAACAATGTGAAAGCTGTGGCCAGAGCACGATCTTTGGGGAACGAGCTGTTCAATTCTGGAAAATTTTCAGAAGCTTGCTTAGCTTATGGTGAAGGGCTCAAACATCACCCTGTGAATCCAGTCCTTTATTGCAATAGGGCAGCTTGCAGGTTCAAACTAGGTCAGTGGGAGAAATCCATTGAGGACTGCAATGAAGCACTCAAGATTCAACCCAACTATCCAAAGGCTTTGCTCAGACGTGCGGCTTCCTATGGCAAGGTAGCACCTTTCTAGTTTGATGCTCTCTTCTTTTCCCGATGTAGAACTTTGTCATAAGTTCTTATATTTTTTGCTCTTCTGGTGGTTAGATGGAGCGATGGGCAGAATCTGTGAAAGATTATGAAGTTCTTAGAAAGGAACTTCCAGGTGACACTGAAGTGGCGGAAGCCTATTTCCATGCCCAGGTTGCTCTGAAGTCTTCTCGGGGTGAAGAAGTATCTAATATGAAGTTCGGAGGAGAAGTTGAGGCAATTACTGGAATGGAACAATTCCAGATGGCTACATCCTTGCCAGGTTTGTTTTTATCAGAAGTCTTTCTTTGTTTCCAAATCCAAATGTTGATGTCCCTATTGTAGATTATGTAAGCTAACTCCACAAAAACCTAGTACAGCATATAATGGTTGAAAATCATAATAGTTCATATGTACATCAGTGTATTAATAATGGGCTGCCAAAACCTGGCCGAATTTTTGGAGTTGCTAGCCAAACAAATGTCCACACCTGCTCAGTTGACAATACATGTTCATCTTCTGTATTCAGGTTTTCATCAAACATATACCCACCCCTTTAAGCTCTATGCATCTACCCTGAGAGAAAAAAAAATCAAAAGAGAGTAAATAAATAAGCATTGCAAGTGACGATCTTCAATGTATTAAACATAGTATCAGCGAGGTAGACATTAATCCAAATTTAAATCAAGCTGATCTCTGAAATAAGTTATGCGAGTTGTGGCATATCCTTGGAAGATGCAATGATGCGATCCCTTTTAACTGATATTACCATGATGTTACCCGAATGAGATATTTATTGCCCTCTTGACATGCTTGTTCACTTTACTCAAACCTCTGCCCCAAAAGGCTGTTAACATATGTGTAGTGCAATCAAACTAAGCAAACCAATCTCATTTGGCTTGTAAAATAACACATTATTATATATTATTTTTTCTCTTCTAATATTCGCTACTCCTTAAAAAAGAGCAATCCCATCTGACTATTTCAATTAATCTGACATATTTGGATGCTTTTTCTGCTCCTTTTTTGCACCTGCAGCTCATTATTTTGACTTACAGCTGTGTCTCAGGAATAATTAGTATTGTAATCTTGACTTTTGCTGATAGGGTTAAGGTTGTACCACATGTTGGTAGTACTTGTTACTGTTTTCTGCCGTGCAAACAAATCTTCACATGACATTTGCTTTCTGCCATTGTCCTAATGCTAGTTGGAAGTACATCATTTGGTCACACTCTTTTGTCTTTTACCATGCCCCCTCTGTACTGTCCGGTCACTTGTTTCTCTATCTTCTAGGTTCTATCAGTGATGGTTGTTCTTAACTTTTTATTTCTTTGTGCTTTTAAAGTATTTCTTATTGACCTGTTTCTAATTTACAGGTGTTTCAGTCATCCATTTCATGACACCTTTAAATCAGCAGTGCTGCAAAATTTCCCCATTTGTGAATACCCTGTGTACCAGATACCCATCTATCAGTTTCCTCAAGGTAACTAATGATGTTTCATGGCTCATTCATATCTTTCTTATCTTTGGCCTAAGTTTTCTCATACTTTTCTGCTGCCAACTTAGGTCGATATAAGCGAGAGCCCTGCTGTTGCACGCGCAGAAAATGTGAGGACGGTTCCAACATTTAAAATATACAAAAATGGTACAAGAGTGAAGGAAATGATCTGCCCCAGCCTACAGCTCCTGGAGTATTCAGTGAGGCATTATGGGATTTAGTCCATGAAGTGATGACCTGATGTTTCCTCAGGCCTCCAGCTTTCCCGCAAGCGACCACTGGCTAGCCAGGACAAAGCCGGTGAAGTTTATCCTGATGAAGACAACAACCATGAAAGAAGACCAAGAGCGAAGAGGAATTTTCCCCGATCTCATTCATCCGATGACCTTTTCTATTCTCCCCTTTTCACCATTTGTTGATTACCTGCTTAATTTATTCTTTTCATTTGTCTCATGCGTACATCATTGTTGCCAAATTCCTTTAGAACAAAAAAAAGGACCCATCTTCCTATTCTTGTGAAGAACGACTGTAAATCTCTCTTCTTTTTTTTTTTTTTTACTTCCATGTTTACCAGACCTCCCAAGGAAAGAAAGGTATAGATGGCATTTGTACTCTTTACATCCAACTATGTAATATGGAAGTTTTGCCAATCCATGGTTATTAATCCAACCACTACTATGTCATGTCACCCATGTTCTTTGGGTAATTGGTCCCTGCTCTACATACACTTGGTGTAGTCCCACTAACTACACCTCATGTGGGTGTTTCCTGGTGGATTTTGTGGTTTGAACATGTGAGAGCTATCAGCTGTTGGTCCCTGAAAAGATAACTCTTGTCAAATAATTATGCTTACATACCCCAAAAGAAATAAAAAAAAGGAGTTTGTGAATATGGATGGGCCATAGCCATTCTGACAATGTAATAGTCACACACACACACACACACACACTCTCTCTCTCTCTCTCTCTCTCTCTCTCACACACACACACACAAAGCAAGTATATGGAACTATCTATGCAGATGTGATCTGTGTTACATTACAGTGACTGAACACAGCACGCAGGACACAAATGTTGCTGATGACTGTTGCTGGTTAAGCAAAGCTCATGTAAGTTGAATAGCTGATGATGAGGAGGAGGAGGAGAAAAGTGAGAAAAGAAGCCCCATCGGATGCCTTTGTCGACCGTTTAGTTAGTTGCTAGCTGTACTTTCATGAGACACCTGGTGGGCCCAGTGCCCATGAGGCCGACATGTTAACATCGAGCCCTGGCGTGTTGAGGCGGGCTGTTTTGGCGATTTCCTCACGCTCCAGATCGGCAGCCGCATTATTCCTGTCCAATCACCGTCTCCACAAGGCATATGCAGACTCACTTGCAGTGGCCCTGGCTTCTTCTTCATGGGAAATCTTAGGGGATCCCTACTTCGATTTGCCTTTCACAGTCACAGGTATAGGTAGTGTTGTGATCGACTTAAGTCCCTGTTTCTTTTAGCTTGAGATTATTATAATCTAGATTATTGAGTCAGATTACTATAAGCTAGATTGTTATAATCTGTAGTAGAATAAGCGGTTAATTGTTTCTTTTCTAGATTATTAGAGCCTAATTTATTGGATTTACAAGTCTAAAGAGGGAGTGGGGTGGCATGGTGGGTATTTTTTTACCCAATAATCTGGAAAAAGCTCATATAAATGAGCTTATCAGATTATAATAAGTTAGGCTCCAGATTATAATAAGCTACTTCAATAAGCTGTCTGTTTCTTTCAGCTTACTCCCAATAATCTAGATTATAATAATCCCAAGCTGAAAGAAACAGAGCCGACTAATGTCTCTGGTTTGTCACGCTATATTTTGTAGGAGCGTGCTATAATCTTAGCTTAGTACCATCCTTATCATAGACATAACTTGCTAAATTTTGCCTGATATGTGGCAGGGATTTTTTTTAGAAAATCAAAAGGAAATATGGCATGCTTTAGGGGGAAATAGAAAATTAAAACATGTGATTTTTTTGGAACATTTTTATTTTTATTTTAAAAATAAACTCTCCTAAAATTTATTTCTAAATCTGAATATTTTGATCACGCCAGCCGTTTGGCTGTTGAAACAATACGACCATACCGATCCGGTTCGCGTGACAACGTTATTTGCTCATGCCAGCCCGGTTGACATGACAACATTGTTTTACCATGCCACTACGTCTGGCATGGCAACACAAAAATATCAAACCCGCTACAGGTGCGTGATAGTATTGTTTTGCATGCCAGATGTTATGGTGTGGTCAAAGAAAATAGATTTTAGAAATAAGTTTTAAAAGAGTTATATCTAAAACAAGAAATTTAAAATGTTAAAATAATAATAAAATTTTGAAACCAAAGTATTTAAGCTTAGCCAAGTTGTTGTAAGTTATAAGTGTAGCATGCTAAACTTTAAAACTAAAGGCCACTTTCGATCTTATCAAATTTTGGTAAGTTAACAAACAAAACATACTTTGACCATTACTATCTTACTAAAAATTTTGGCAATTCTCAGAATTTAGCAAAGACATCAAAGCAAACAAAGCCAACATTATCGAATTTTGATAATGCCAAAGTGTGTCAAAATTTGGCATTACCAAAATGTGGTGTGGTTGATGTTGAGTATAGTTATGTAGACGGTGTGTCCCATTGCTAACTGTTGAGAAAATATGACAAGTCACAACTATAACCATAAAGCAGTATAGCTTAGAAATAAACACCATTAAATGTTTCGTATGAACTGATTGTCCTTTCATGCTTAAAGTGTGGTTATTGTGGGCCTTGTAATTAAATATTTGTGTCTGAACTTTCTTCTCCTCTGTCACTCTAATGTAATACCTCAGCTCCTAAATCCTTATTAGCCCAAGTACAAATACATATATATATAGCATTCTAATTATACTTTCTTACCCAGTGTTGTGTAAAAGGGTTAACCTAAGCGCCACGTATGAAACGTCTCGGTGGTGTATATGTTGGCCTTATCTTATAAACTCTCTATATGCAGCTAATCTATGATTTATGAACACCCAACCATGCATGGACTACGTCGTCCTCTGGTTGATCCATTGCACAATCATAATTCTTCCATATGCATCGATCTTTTGGGTGCTATGTGTGTCTGCAAATATGGAGTAATTTTTTTAAGAGAAAGAGTATGGTTAGCTGTGATTAAGGAGAAGAGAGAGAATATTGGGATTAGGGTTTTGGCGATTCCCGGGCGACCGGGAGACGCCGGCGATATCCCACATTGTGGGATGGCTTAGGATGGAGTTCTTCTCCGATCCGGTTACGTCGTTTGCAGGGTTTTTGCCTGCCTTGTTTAACATCATGGAGGGGTTTTCGTCTCGGGATCTTACGTCCTTGGGACAGGTGATTGGTTCTCGACTCGGAGGCCAGTTCAAGAAAATTAGTTTTTGCTACGATAACTTAAGGTTGGTAAGTTTTTTTCACATCTATGATCCATACATATCCCCTATCAGACTCCGTTTCAGGGATGTTAGGATCCGGAAGGGGAAGAAGTGCCATGTTCAATCTAATCTGTTGGAGTCTGTCTCGGTGCTATAAATTGGAGAGCCTAGGGCAAGGATCTGCACCCTGTACAAGTTCCCTGAAGACAATCTTGCAAAGCCGCAATTCCAATCTGCGTCTCTCCTGCTTGTTTGGCGTTCTCATGGCGTCCTCTGCCGGTGGGGGTGATAAAGGGATCATCACTGCGATGGTTGCCCACCCGAAGCCGGCCAGGGGAGGTGAGATTGTCATGGCGAATCAAAGGGAGGAGGTTCTGAATAAAGGTACTTTAGCAATCGGGGTAGCAACACCAGATGAAAACCAAACCACGATGGAAGGTGCGGGTACTGCTGTTGAGGTGGACAGTACGACTCATCAGGGGCCAGCAGCTTTCATTGAGGGGGAGGTTGTGGAGGAGGATGAGGACGCAATCGAAGTGGTTATAGAGGAAGAGGAAGTGCAGAAGGCTGGCCAATGGACTATATTAGCAAGATTCTATTCCTTGAAGTCTCCAAATCTTGCCGCTCTCTTTGAAGACATGCGTCGTGCTTGGCGGCTGCGATCAGACATGACTTACAAATCGCTGAGGGATAATTTGTTTATCATATCTTTTGGTGCTGAGGGGGATTATAGGTTTGTTATCCAAGGTGGTCCATGGATTCATAGGGGGGATGCCCTGTTGGTGGCAGAGTTTGATGGCATCACCTGTCCGTCAAAGGTTACTTTGGATGTGATTCCAGTATGGGTGCGGATTTATGATCTTCCACTGGTGCTAATGACAAAAGCAAGGGGTGAGATATATGGTAGCAAACTGGGCAGAGTACGGGAGGTGGATGTTGGGGATGATGGCCGCAATAAACATGACTTCTTCCGTATTCGTGTTGATCTCTCAGTCAAGCGACCACTAAAGGATAAGTTAACCATCAAAATCTCTGCACAAGGTAGAGTGGAAACAAGAAGTTTTGCACTTCGATATGAAAGAGTGCCACACTTCTGTTTCATATGTGGCTTCATGGGGCATGCTGATAAGGACTGCGATAAGAGAGGTGCAAATGTGGAGAATCCCTTTCGCTTTTCAGCTGATTTGAGATGCTCACCCTTAAAACCGTTTGAGCGAAAAGTTAACAAGGTCAGAGCAATGTAGAACACTGGAGCAGCTCGCAATCTGTTCTTCCGTGGAGCTGGAAGTGCTGGCTCATCGTCTTCAAAGCAGAGAGATGTGGAACAGTGGGATGAAGCCATTCCACCCAGAGTGGATGCTCATGATAATTTTGATGACAAGGAGAAGGAGGGGGATAGTTCAGTAGATGAGCAATTGGCTCTGCAAGCCAATCTGATGAATATGGCAGGGACAGAAGGGATAGACAAAGAGCATGATGATAGTCAAGGTCCGAAGTTAAAGAGTGGGTCTAATGTTGTGGCCCTGGCTGGATCAGCAGGGGAGGCCATACCCTCAAAAGAGATGATTCCTGCTATTGCAAATCTTTAGCAACAAGCCTCCTTTGGGGATGGGTCGTCAGATGACTGGAGTGGCGGGAATAGGAAGAGAACGCAAGACACGACAGAAATTAACAATCCGGGGCGGGTCCAGCAAGCGCTGGTAATATACCAGAGTGCAACGGTGAAGGATGCGGCGGATAGTAGAGAAGCCGGCAAGGACACAAGAGCGCTGAAGCGTTCCAGGAAGACGGAAGGAGGTTCGGAGGTGTCTAATTCGGAGGCAACCAGCCATGGGGTCGCTGGTAAACTAACGGGACCTATGATAGGGTCTCGTCAGGAGCAATGAATTGCTTGGCATGGAATTGTCGTGGTATTGGGAATGCCACGGCAGTTCGTGATCTCATTGCCTTGGTGAAAGAGGCAAATTCCCAGGTGGTTTTCCTCAGTGAAACGAGACAGAAGATTGAAAGAATCCGCAGACTTCGTTCTAGATTAGGTTTAAAAGGTTTTGTTGGATGTAATAGTGATGGTTTGAGTGGTGGTCTTGCTCTCTTTTGGCATGAGTCTATCTTTATGGATGTTAAGAGTGTGAATGAAAGATATGTTGATGCGTATATGCATTTGTCTCCGGAAGATCCTCTATGTCATGTAACCTTTGTGTACGGAGAACCGAGAGTGGAGAATAGACATCGTTTATGGTCTCGGCTCCTGGATCTCAAACAGTCCTCCCC